AGCCTAGCAATTCTCGTGTTGTACGTCTAGGCCAACCCAGCATCCTACAGCTCGCGCTCGCGCGCTCGCTTCGCGCAGGGAGGGAGTCTGAGGCAAAGGGGCCTGCTTTCTTGCCTTTGAGAGCCGGTGGCTTAGTTCTGGGGTGTCATTTGATCAAGCCAGGGGCACAAATCACGCAGCTCTTCTCAGCACGCGATCTTTACCGAAACTAGTTTCGCAATCGAGCGGCTTGTTCAATCGGATTCGCTGCTGTATGGCTGCCATAGGCAAGCGCATGTCACGAGGCTTGCATTCGAACCGCAGTGTTTTGAGTTTAAAAAACACAGACTCTCCCACCCGCCTCAAACGTCTGTGTGAAGATGCGAAGATTTTCAAGCTAATTAAGGCACGTCACTGGCTTGTGCCAGTTTTCAGCGAAATGTTGTCTGAATAAGTTTTTCTGTACACTGTAAGCCAAACTAGCAAAAACATCGGCTCACGAAACCCTGATTGTAGATCGGAAGAGTGTTTTTTCAGGGACAGGGAGTCTGTAGTCTGATGCCTCAGAGGCCTTTTGTTCCTTTGGGAGCTGGTGACTTAGTGGGAGAGATGGGCCTCGCCGGGTTCGGCTCCCTCTGTGTCCGGGCCTGGGCTTAACCAGCAGTTCACGAAAATCACCGGGAGACTGTTGGAGGGTCGTGGGCAGCAGCAAAAAGGTTCGACGAGGAGATCGTAGAACATTCGGGGCACGTGGCTAGATCAAGTTGCATTCTGACGCGAACCCTGCAATAGAGACCACTCAGACATGCGAGGAATCCCGGAAGTCTCCATGCAAAGCCTCCTCGCACATGAATGAGATTCCAAGATGCGCTCGTATGCTCTATAAGAACAGTGTTGTGATTCAACCAGTGTGCCTTCAAGCAGGCCAGTGGCCACCAATCAAACGGTGTGGGGCGAATGTGTCAGCGAGAGTTGTGCTACAAATCAGCAAGTACTCTACACCACGGACTGTCGGATTCTATCGGCATGGTTGTGCTCTGCTAGGAAAGCTTGCACGCTTCAGAATTCTACGTTTCTAGCCTTTCCACTGTTTCGTATTATCTGTCCTGCTAAGAGCCAAGGGATTACTTCCTACACCACGGCGACGACAAGGCTGCAACAGCCAGGACCATGATCTGTCGAGCCGAAACCCTTTGTGCTAGGGGATTCTTGGATAAGTCACCCTGCACTGTGTGCACAGGTCATGCTGCACACTGGGTTTGCACAGGTCCGCACTGTACACAAGGTCGCGTGTACTGCACGGTCTGCAGACGTCCTAGCAAGACGAAAATTAAGTAAACTAAGGACAAGGAGTGTGTGGGGCTCTTCATTGAGCCAGAAGAACACGACATGACTGTAAACTGCCTCGATGGCTGTAGCAGAGAAGAAACATGCACGATGGGTATGCCTCGGGGCACCCCCTTCTGTGGCGTGGTGATTGTGGTCTCGTTAGCACCCACATGTGCCTTTGTTGTGGGTTCCTGGTCCTCAGCTCATGGGGGCGCCTTCCTGTGCAGAAGCACAGGCTGTCATGGAGATCTCGACATTCGGGGGTTCGGCTCCGATGCGAACCGCTGTCCAGAAATCCCTCGCAGCCGATCACGCGACACGATGACAAGCATATACAAGCATCCACTCCGAAGACCCTGAGCTTCGCCCCCCTCCCCCACAAACAACAAGGACAGTCATGCAGATCGCAACTTCGGCCTAGAGAGTCTGTTGCCATGTTTGAGATGCGAAGTTGCCTTGATCATGCATAGTGTCTGTGTGTCTTTACATGACATGTACATGTCAAGTTCATGCGCAAAACCTTCTGGGATCTTCCGGGATCATTGCGGGACACCGGGTCGGAGCGGAGGACGAGGACGGGCGTTTGCTGTACAGGCCTCTCTGATGCTTTCTTGCTTCTCTACAATAGTTACGGCAACAAAGAGGAACATTGTGTGTGCGATCACGTGTGTGTCCAGGTTGTTTGTAGCGGACGGCACCTTTCTTCATCATGTAGCGTAAAGTGATGCGTGGTGTAAAACTTTACTTTACGAGACCATCGTGCCGGATGAGAAAGAAGGACGGTTTTGGATGGCCACCTTTTTTTCGTGTACGCTTCGCTGGAAGATTGGTATCTGAGCGTTTCTTTCGAGGTGGGCCGCGCTGCTGTTTGCATAAGTTAGAAGGATTCTCTAAGTTCTGCTTTGCGTTTGTAATGGCAGCGGCACACCGGACTGGGTAGGACTGAACCGGTACGTTTGGCTTGATGCAAAGCTTCGTTACTTCGTTCCTGAGAAGAAGGGGAAATTCGGAATGCGGACTCCTTGGAGTCTGGAATGTCAAGCATGAGGTACATAGATGGAACCAGGATTTTAGGGCAGGGTTTGGCTTCATGTGCCCACATCTTTAACGTCCCCGCACATCAACTCTATGTGATCAGAGGACAAGCGCTCCAAACCAAAGGATGGCAAGTGGGTGGACAACGAAAGACGGGTGACTCTGCTGAATGCGAGCCCTCCGCCCTAAATCCTGAAGCTCGACTCCGAAAACCTTAGAACTTAGACCATAGCTACAACCAGATTGTAGCTCTAACCATCGCTGGCTCAACTTGTAGGGTCTAGGGTTTAGGGGTCCAGGGGTGTAGGGTTGAAGGACAGTTTGCATGCGGGGTGCTGATGCAGCTACAGAAGATAGCCGAACTGGCGGTAGCAATGCCAAGACAGGCCAGATCGTTAGGAAAGCTGGATCACCTAATTTTAACGCTACGCCGCCCGCCTCGGCTGTGTAGCGGCAGGGCGAGGGGGCAGTCGATGTTTTTTTATGCTAGGGCGGCCTGTCAAACCCCAACCTTTACACGGTTGTTGATACGAAGTGCGAGGAGAATGGGTAGGGGAGGGGGGGGGGGGGGGGGGGGGGGGGGGGGGGGGGGGGGGGGGGGGGGGGGGGGGGGGGGGGGGGGGGGGAGGCCGACAAATCAGGTAAAATGAGGGGAAGCCGGGCAAGGGGGTGGCAAACGAACGCAAAAAGCGGGTGTCCCCAAACATTTGGACCGCAGGGAGGAGGATTAGGTGGAGGGTACCTGAGCTAACCCCCAAGACGCCTGGGCCTGTGGCCTCGGCGGATAAGGATGCTTGGTGACTATCGCAGTTGCAGTGTATAGATGTTAGAACCCCGGCTCTTGTCCGTAGACTAACAGCGCACCCGCTCCAGAACAAGCACAGCGCAAGCGGGGCGAGCGCAAGGGCGATAGGTAGTATAAGAAGGTGCATAGGTTAAGGAGGGCCTGCTTGGTATAAAGTCTGCGTTCGTGAAGCCGGGTAACCAATATCGATCCCAAACCGGCGATAAGCTTGTTCATTGTCATTCGCAGCTTGCTTTAACAACCGACGCAAGGGTACTTTAGCTTTTAATGTTTGCTGGTTACAAGGGCAAAAACTGCGGCAAAGAAATATACACAGAGAGAAAAATGTGGCCGCTCCCTGCCGCTCCAGACTGTGCTGCGGCACGGCATTCCTTCCAGGTTCGCCGCAGCCGACTCGAACGTGAATCCCCGAGGCTGGGCTGCTGCAAGTGGCCGACAAGCGGGAGCTAACTTTGCTGCACTCTTTGAGGCACTTTCCGAAATGCGTCGATGTGGTTGGATGAGGCCACTTGCGACTGGAGCGTTATAGTGCGGAAGTGCTTGGCAAGCGTTGTCTCTGCCAGGGCCTGAGACAGAAGAAAGAGGAAGAGGCAGGCTCCGCTCAAGAAGCAATCACTTCTGTCGTATACGCATTCATCCGGATAATTCTGCGAATCACAGCCTGCGGTTAGGGTTGGATTTCACGCCGGCCACTATAACCTGCTCACGATGCCCGTCCTAATGCTTGGCAGTGTGCAGCAACTGTAGTGCCGCAGGATGACCATTGTCACACACACACACACACACTCTCCTCGCCTGACTTTTCGCTGTCATCTAACAGCACAGGTTGACTAAGTTGGAAGCCGCCACGAAGTGGGGTGGGGAGACATGTCCTTGTGCACAGACGGTAAGGTTCCTGAGGCCTTGAAAATCCACTGACAGATGCAGGAAGCCACCATGCTTCAACTCGCCGAATCTGGCATGGGCTCAGGACTTAAGGCTAGAATGTGAAGGTTCAGGGGCAATTTTGGGATGCAGACGTGTGGATTTGGACCCTGCGTGCTAGGACTGCTAGGAATCGGTCGTGTGTAGGTGACCTTGGCAAGAGGCACTCCAACAACATATTCACACGGGTTACTTATGCAGGCCAGTGCAAGGACCATATGCAGGTGCATGCGCCATGTTCAAAAAATTGAACACGGGCTTTAGCCGACATCAATCAACCACGCTGCCACGTCTAACCTGCGTGCATGTGCATGTTCGTGTGGGTGTACGGCTCTTGCCTTCCCCAGCACAGATTCCATTAGTAACGTGTGCACCGAGATCGTTGTATACCTTGCTGACACCTGACAGAACTTGGCAGGGGACAGGCGAGCGACCTATGGCGGTCGAGAGGCCGCGCTTGTGGGTCGGTTCGCACTTCCGTGTTGCCGACCCCTTGTCGCAGGCAATCAGAAGTGGAGCCTGGCGAAAGTCAAAAAAAGGATCCACTGCCCCGCTAGCCAAAGGACATTTTGCAATGGCCGTCTCTGAGAGTTTCCTGTTTTGTGCGCACGGCTTGCAGCGGGCATGGGGCCACACTCAGCCAAACAAACAGACAGACTTCCAGGGGACGAACGCTGTGCCCGCAAACAGTACTTTCAACAGACCTGAAACGGGTCGGAGAAGCCGGTCCTGTTGCCTTTTGAGCGCGGCCGTGTGAAAGCTGCCTTAGGCTTGCACATCAGCTGAATTGAATGCAGGGTTTTTTTGTTTATGCTCTGGCCGTGTGCTTCTGATTCCGGAGCCCACTCGCAGGTTGCACTGGGTTGCACTGGCAGGGCTTCATGGCTTGCTCTTGCTTGGCGTTGTCACAACCTGCCAAACCAAGTCCATGGCTCGCCCACTACTGCCGATCCTGCGCCGGGGCGCCCCGGCAGTGCCTCGGATCAGGTAGGCCCTGAGAGGCACTGCGTTTCGGCTTGCAAGTGAAGCATGGGACCAGAAACAGCCAAGGAGCGTGTTTTTTCCAGGGAGACCGCAGCTCAACCTGAGGCGACACACCTTTTTTGAGGGGCAGCCTCAGCTATAAGACATAGAGCCGCACGTGGGCCAGCCCAGTCGCTCTCCCCCAAGCTTGTGGCACTGCTGTTCGCAGGCAATGGCGGCAGTCGCTGGAGGCCAATGCATCTGTAAGCGGCTGCGCCTCTTCCGGTCCGGAGCAGCAGGTGCACCTGGCGGCCTCATGCTGTTCGTGGCCTAGTCCGGGATTTCAAAAGCTTCCGCGGTTTGTGGCCTTCAAACGACCAAGGCCACTGCGAAAGAGATCGGTGAATTTTACAGAGAGTGCGTCAGGGGGCCCAGGTCTAAGCGAAGCTTTCTGAAGGCGTTTTGAGACTCCGCCCAGGCCCACTGCGGCTCCTGCCTGTAGCCCGCGAGGTGCCGCCTTTTTCTTCTGATGCATTCAGTTTGTGCTATGTTCTGCTACCGGGCTGGGCTCATTTTAGGGTTAGAAGATCGGCTCAGGGCTCGGGCTGAACGCCATCTTGAGCAGTTCTTCCTCTTTAGGATCACGGAGCGGGTGGTCTGCACCATGGCTGTTCCTGTCAAAAGCTGTGGCAGTCGTGGGTAGCAGCTCCGCTGCCGAGTCTCAAAGCTCTCAGCCCGGCAGCCAAGCGCAAATCAGGACTTCAGTTTGACATAGTTTTAAACCATGCGAAGAACCTGGCCGGCACCAGATGTCTGAGGCCTTTCATTGCGCTGACCATTGCACCCTCGCCCACGGACTCTGCATCCAAGCCTGGGTCCTGAGTTGCCAAACATGTGACTATGTTTGAGCAGTTCTTCCTGCAGCCGAAACCTGCTGAGACCTTGCACCACAACCGCCGCTTCCATCCTAGAGACGCCAACAGCGTGCGGGTCTGAGTGCCAGCTCTGCAGCCCAGACGAGCCATCGCCGCCCAGCCGCTCAGACCGTATGTGGCACTTTCAGTCGAGCCTTCTCCAACAGCGCCGGGGACCTGTCGACGTGCAGCGCCATCTGTGGCTTTTTGCGCTCACTCGGCGAGGTTTGAGAGCCCTGAATCCAATTGGCCGGAGGCGACCCCACACATCCCGGCAGCATGTCGCCACACGTCGGCACAGAGCCCACAGAGCCTGCAGGACATCGCTTCTGGATTCTGGAAGAGTCCGTCCTACGTCGCCATCCAGGCCCCGATGGTGTTTACTCCTGTTAGTTGCCTTGGCTCTTGGCTGCACGCTGTTATCAGGTTGGAGGTAGCCCCAGATGTGCTCCGGAGGGCTTGCAAGAGTACCGCAGTGTGCGGGCCTTTGCCAGTCCTTTGTGCACGTGTCAGATTGTGTCAGGGTAGTCGAGGCGTCCTAGGCCTAGTATGGGTGGGCGCGCGGTAGGTGCGTGTTGCCCGCGCTCCCAGCAACAACTTCTGACGAGCTGCGGGTTTGATCAGGCTTTGCAGGTATGGGGACTTAATGATTTTAATGTTTAGGGTTTCTCCTGCGGCAAATAACCCCGGTGACCCAAGTAACTTCAAGTTGCAGATGTCAGTCAATTAAATGACCCACATGTTCCAAGCGACCCAAGTGGCAGAAAACAGTTCGCGATCCTAGAGCGGGGCTGTAGGGATTCAGGGTGCGTGGATTTAGGGTTTAGGGATTTCGGAAGGGTTTGAGGAGCTAGCAGTTCATGCTTGACTGACTACACCAGGCCAGATCCTACGGTTTGCCTGTTTGCCTCACACCTTCAGGGTTTGAGGCTGCTGGTATGACAGCATACCATTCCCCTAAGTCATAGACAGTGTCCGTGTGTCGGGCTAAAGGTGTTTACTTGATGACTGCGCCGAGTCTTTCTTGTTTTAAGGTTTAGGTGTTCAGAATTTGTAATCTCGCGCTCCCCAGGCACTGCCCTTTGTTCTTGAGGGGAGTAGTTCCAGTGTATTTTTTGTCACTTCCGCTCTCTGAAAGTATTGGGTTTGCCACACTGTTGTTGTGGCACTGCACGTTGTTGGTGGGAAAGTTCTTTCATTGGGTTAAGGGTTTGCCTCACCGCTCCTTGGGTTTCGGGATGCCTCGGTGTTAGGGTTCAGGGCCAGGGTTTGTCACACTTGATTCCAAGACTCGGCCCGCGCCCTATTTGTTAGGCTTCGAGCCAAGCAGGCAAATGAACGCACTCCGAAGTTGGCAATGAAGTGAACAAACCCCCGCAAGTTGGACGCGCAAGCGCGTTCATTCCAAAGCTTTCCGCTGCACGCTCATGCAGGTGCCAGCAACACAACCTGAGCCGCCAGTGTAGACAAAACACGAGGCCTTGTCACATTTTTGCCTCTGTTTGCCTGTCTCGGCAATGGGCTGGAGTCGAATTGGACATTCGACCGACTCCTTCACGGCTGGCATCGATGCGCCCGCACACCCCTTCTGTGAAGTAGGCGCGACAAGCAGCAAGCGACACCCTACGAGCAGCAGGCTCATACGGGCCAGGCGGTCCAGGTAAGCTTGTCTGTGAGACCACCTGCTGCCAGACCGCCATGCGCGAGGGGTACTCGAAGGGATTCGCCGACCAACGACAAACAAACAAGACACTGGCGTTTTTCGATGACAAGCGTAGCTTGCGCTCCGCGGCCCTCTTTTACCCCTCCATGGTCTATGGTGTATATGGTCCAGGATGCCCTCCCCTTCCCTGTGGGGTGGGGTGTGGGGTGAAGCGTGGGTGGTTGTGGGGGTTTTGGGTTTAGCTTAAGCTTTTTTAGGGTTTAGGGTTAGAAGGTATAAGGCTTCGAGTCGACAAGGGCTTAGGGAGGCTTTGGGGTGTCGGTGTAGGTTCGTTAGGGTAGGTTTCAGGTTTAAGTTCTGCTCTATTCTTAGAGCCTGCATTTGGGCGGGGTTAGGGTTGGGTGTAGGGTTTAAAGTGTCGGTTAAGGTTAATAACAGCAGATATAAAAGCAGGAGCACGCGCCATTGCGCTCCATTATAGGACTTGTGGCTCGCGTACGATCCTGGCCTGGCCACTCCTCCAGCTGCAGCTCCAACGGCTCCGACCGACCCCTCTCCGGGCACACCAGACCCCCGGACCCTGGCCCTTACCAGACCAGACCATAGGGCCATAAAGGGTGGGGGCGGGGGCTGGGAACGCCAGACGCCTGACCACATATGCCCGCTCCGGTCCTCACCACGCATCTTCAACACACTTTCATAAAAATACTTCTAGCATGTACTTGCATATATGCATATGCGTCTGTCTCTGTGCACCTACAGTACACCTCTCACACATACACACTACTTGGTGACACAGTAGCAGGCACGTGCAATGAACCAATTAAGAAAGCAAGCTCTCATGCAAGCAGAAAGCAAGCAAGTTAATAAGTAAGCAAGTAAACTTGTCCGATGGGCATGGGGGCATTGACGAATGAGCTGTGCATAGTCTGGCAAGGCTTCACCCACCACAGCGGGAACAGCAAGCGGACATGATTCACCTCGAGAAGAAAGCTTCTGGAAGCTGTCGTCTCAGAAATCCCAGTCTCTGCTCCCTGGAAGAACCCTGAAGTCTCCTTGCCGTCCAGGTGCCTCCTGGGTACAAGCCCTTCACGGATCCGCTGGGGCGCTGGAGCCCTAAGACTTCGCACTAGTCGCAGATCAGGCAACAACAGCCACCGCGGACGTGGAAGGCTCCGTGAGCTTTTGGGACCGCTTTTTGTAGTTTGTCGGAAGTAGTTCGTGTCGAGCCATCGAAGGATGCTGGTCTGGGAGACGGATAGGAGCAGCGGTTGATCAGTATTGGCAAGACCTTGACAAAGACACGGCGGTTCAGGGATCTGACTCGAGAAAATCATAGTGGCTTCTCAACATGAATGAAGATAATATAGACTAAGGCGCGTGGTCTGTTTTTTTTTACATGTTTTGAAGCGTCTTCACTGGCCATGTGCTGGGCAACTGTTGCACTTTGGATCCGCCAACCGGAGTCTTCCGCCGAACGTGAGAAACTTCAGCTTGGATCGCCTTGTCGTGCGTTGAACATGTGCAGCGAGGTTATGGGCAGGCTCAGCACCAGCCAGTCCTCTCCAACAACAACGCCTGTCAAGGCCTCGTAGTCAGATTTTGGTCTCAGTTCAACAGACGAGAGGCCGAACATCAGCTGCCCTTCACAGTTTGTTTAATATATCAAGTGTGTTTCCCTTGCACTGTCTCGCTCGAAGGCAACCCACGCCATTTGACGCCCAGGCAGGTTTTCTGCGACTGCAGCGGGGTACACCTTGCAAGCACATGACATTAGTGAACTTAGGATATAGTTTGTCTTCATTTGCAGGATAGGTAGCAAAGCAAAGAAGGGGCCATTGGCGGCGGTGATAGTGGTGAAGCTGCCACTTCTCTTCTTCATCTGATCTTTGTCGCTGCTGCGGTTGCATGTTCGCGTCCTGCCGTCACTTAGCTTCGATTTTGGCCATGGGCCGGGCAAATCAGCGGCGTGTGGCGTGGCGTTCGTGGAACGCAGTTGAGCGGAGTGCTGGGTAGCTTGCATGGGAAGCTGTTAGAAGCCTTCTCGGCAAGTGCTCAGAGGCTGCTGAGACATTTTGCCCGGTCTTTTGGGAGAACTTGAGGGATACTGCCTGGTGGCTGAGGTTCCTTGCTTCTCCCAATTTCAGTCTCTAACGTCCGGGCACTAAGAATGCCCGGGCGGATGGAGTCGTAGCTGAGCACAAGGGGACCTCCGGCTTAGACTTAGTGCTGTCAGGCTGTTGGTTGATGGCTGTTGCAATGGTTGTGCGTTTCTGCTGCCAAAAGCCCCGGTTCCAACTCGGCTGGCTTACGGAGGCCGCAGCACCCTGATGGAAATCCTATCGAACAGCCGATCCAACATGTTCGGGTGTTGGCTTTCGAGGGCCTCTTGTAGAGTTTGCTCTAGGCTTTGCGCTGAGCTTTCAAGCGGGCGTCGCAGCTTCAGGATGGGCGGCTTCGGGCGGCGCGCCCTCGTAGTGGCAAGTTCCATCTTTGCCCCAACACGATGGGAGCAGCTTCTTTGCTGGGGAGACACGGGTAGCCCGGTGGCACCGAGCCACAGGGATTGGCAGTTTTGTTTCGCAGGACCCATCAGTGCTTAAGGAGCAGAAGTCAGTGCAAATGATCCATCATAAGCTTCAAGCGGGATATGCAATGCAACCATGCAAAAGTTTGATGCACTGGCACCTTCATGCTGTGGTAGCATGACTGACAATGGCCAACTGCCTGGAGCATACATGTCTTCAAAGGACTTGCATGTGCGGCAGCTGTACGCAACCCCATGTTTTTTGAATGGGCCGTGACCGGGTTCGGCTTTCACCAGCATTCAGCCTGCCAACCTGCCATGTAGTGCCCTGTCATCGCGTTGCAGGTTGCCTGGTCAGAGCGAAGTGTATATACCGATCATGCATTTAGTTTACGTTACAGCCGCAGCCACCGCAAGGTGGGCTGTGGACAAGAATTCAGGGTCCGAGCACGCAAAGTATCAAGCATTCAGATCACCGTGCCGTAGAGGCGCAAGTGAAGCTTGGGCTGATCAGTCTTGGGATCCATGCTCCCAGCGATTGCGCCAACCGCATGGGCGAAGAGCGGCTCGCTTATGCTTGACATCTCGAAAGGTGCAAAATTCCACTACATGGCATGAGTGGTAGGGATTGCGAGCCGTGAAGACTCGGACTCTTGCTGGCCTGTCCTAGAGGAATGTCCTCAGTAAAGCTGCGCAGTGCTGTACAGGGGCCAGCCGGAGTCTGACAGATGCCGAATTCTTGATTCCCGACGGCATCCATTTCAAATTCAATCAGGGAGTTCCGCAGGGATGCCCGCTGGACATGCAAGGAGTGCAGCAGATGTCTCATGCCACAATGCCGAGCCTGCTTTGACTTGGGGTACTTAATCCGGGTGCACCTTGTCACACGTCTCACTTCATTTGGCGCCCGCAGCCTGGCTCCGTTAAAGAGGCTTGTTTGTGTGGGTTGATGAGTTGATGGTCTGTTGAAGATCTCTGCTATCTTTCTTGCTGTCTGGTAGGGCAGTTGCTTAGTCTTAGTCACGTAATCCTCGCTGCCCTCGTATGTATTCGTGGTGTTGGCGTCCTTGCTTTGCCTGCGATGTCGGCAGCACCGTCGAGCCCCTTGCCTTCACAGATGTGCTCGAAGTCCGGGCAGCTGAAGTTGAAAGCGTCCCCTGGTCTTCACAAAGGACAGGCATCGAAAAGTGGCGAGTGGGTCACGGCATCATCTGATGTGTCTATGCTGAATCAGCGATTGTACAACAGCTCCTCAGCTGCAGTGTTTCGGCATGCACCAGCTGTCCCTCGAGAGCTGGAGCTTGACATCCATTTTTTGAGACTGCCAGCGATGCCGGTGCGAGGCCAACGAATAGACACGTTTCACACGCCAGCGAAGTTGGATCCACAGAGCCCGAGCCCTTATGAAGCCTCTTGGCGGACATAGTTTCTGGGCTCTTCGAGGTTAGCGTTAATATGTAGGGTGTGCAAGGGGGAAGAGCCCGGGAAGAGGGCACAGGGTGTTGTTTCCCAAACAGGCTGAATAGCATTTGGTTTAAGTTCACTATGTGGCCATTTATGTTGAGACCGCTAGTGCTGCTTTAGCACTGCTACTGAGCCCCTTTCTGCCTCAACATCTCTGTCTCCTTGCATCTGACTGTAAGTAGAGGCTTCGCCAGAGCGGCGCTCGCCGTCACCCACCGAACGTCCGTCTTCCACTCCACTGAGCTTCGATGCTCGGGAGACCGGCGTAGTGAGCACAAGGGCTTCAGGATCATGGTGCACTGACAAAAGCGCTTAATGTCGTTGAATACTTCAGGCCACTGCCAAGTGCTGGTGCCAGCTCCTATCTACTACTCTGAGTGCTGTATCCAGGTACTGGTTTGGATTCCTTCGGGTGTTTTCAAGATGTGCCGGCCGCTGGCGCCATTGTCACATGTTACTTCTGTATGCGTACTCAGGCGAGTTTTTGAGGAGGAGGGCCCCCACACAGCAAAACCTGTTGTCAAACGGCTGCCTTGAGTTCGTTGAGCACGGTCCTTCGGCAAAGCCGCACCGGCAAAGCCACACTGCAGGACGGTCAGTATGGCCATCGATTGGTGGACCTCGTGAACAATTGGAATGAGGCCAGAAACTTCTCCTGCCGCCCCGCTCACCCCTCGTCGAGACAGACCCTTACTTGGTCTTAGTCTTGATCTTGGTTTTCGCTTTCGCCTCCTTTGCTTCGGGAGGACACCAGGCGCATGATTCGAGAGGAGCTGACTTTGAACTCCCGGGCCGAGCTAACGCCCTTTGGCGGCAGCCGGCAGCTACGAGAGCGAGCGTTTCCCTGCATCCGAGCATCGATTTGCGGAGACGGCTCTCGCCAAGGCAGCCTTCCTCTCCGGCCCCTCTGGATGATTCTTCTTTACAGACGAATCTGCAGACCATATTGGCCGCACCGCGGATTGGATTAGGTTACTTTTTCCTTTAACACATGCCAGTTGAGCCTTCGCCGGGGTTTCGACAGTGGGTACTTTCGTGGAAAACGGGTGTCAGGCTTTGGCGGGGCTGGTGAATCCATCTGAGAACCCCAGGCTTTTTGAAGGCTGTGACTGCGGTTGGCTAAGGAAGTGAGGCACCTGCAGCACCAGTCTGCAGGTTGGTGCGACCACTGTGGGGCTCTCGGGCGGGTAGCCATTGCTCAGGAGGCGCCCGGCCCGCGTCAAAAGCTGTTGCGTCTTCGTCTCTCTTCCTGGCGGTGTTAGACCCGAGCTGATCACTTTTCTGCGGGAGCTGCCGCTAGGAGCTGACTGAGATGGTTCGCGGACACTTGATCCTCGAGCGGACCAGCACGCCTAATCGACGCTTCGCAAATCTGGGGTCTGGCTTCCGGGACGTTGCCGAGGAGGCTTAAGAGGGCTCCACGCAAAGGCAGACTTGCCTTCATCTTGCTTCTCAACGGGTGCAAGCTTAAGGAACTGCATGTGCCACGCCGAGCACGACAGCTTCAGACACGCAGGCAAAGCGGTTGTTGTTTGGGATGGTTGAACGATGCCGCTCCTTGTTAAACCTGACCAGGCCACGCTACAAAAGCTGGGGACCGAGCTGACATCAGCCTTCGAGGAGATGCAGAAGGCATTGAAAGGGACTCTTGGCGACGAGTTACCATAGCACTGTAGCCTGGGGCTGGGCATGAGCTTGCCAGTCTAACCGAAGCCGTTTTTGTATCCAAGCCTTCGCACTAGAGAGTGAGTTTCTGTTGTATAGCTCCCGGCACAGTTTGCCGTTCTCTCTTCGGCTGAGGAGTGCAACCCTCGTGGAAGATGCAAGGCGCGTCCAGGAGAAGCAGCCACAACAACCTGCCATCGCTCTAGACAACGAGCCGCTGTTGAGTGACCCTTTGCAGCAGTGGTAGGCCTTGTTTGTCCATTCTTGTTCTTGCACTTATGGTCCGAAGAATTGATGCATAGCCCTGGACTGGAGCACGCAAGGATCTCCGGCAGGTGAAGGCCCGCGATCGGCAACGGAAAGCTGAGTGTATTCGGATGCAGTGAAGTCTTTCCGAGACAGGAGCTGATTGGAAGTGCAGCCGGCACTTCGTTGGCAGCAGATGTGAGAGACCTCAAGGCCCCGCTGGCCCCGCTGGCCTCGCTGCCTCGCTTGCTGGCAGAGCAGAAAGAGCTGAGACTTTTCTGGGCAGGAATCCCTCTTGCTGGTGCAGCGGAAGAATGAGCAGGCCATGCTCACACCACTCACACCCATCCGAAGAACGGTCCTTGCGAAACTCCCCAGGACTCCAAGCATCTTCTTCAGCAGCTGGAGTATCTAGCCGACATCGTCACGGTGAGCAACTCCAAGCCGCCTGGCGTGGAAAAGCTGATTCTGCGCTGTCTGTGATGCGCAGTTGACACCAGGGAAGAAGACCCTCCTGCTTCACAGTACAACCAGCAGAAGATGCTCGAGGGCCTGCAGCATGTCACTGTGCCTTGTCTGACCTTTGCACGTCAGGAGTAAACGCTGCAAAGCCTGAACCGGGGGTTGTTACAGTAAACTTGGTTTCAGGAACTGGCTCCACTCTGTTTCAGAAACCATGCCCGCGCTGTAACAGGAACTGGGTGGATGCCTGTAGCAGCAACCGGGGGGCCGTGTGGCCTTGTAACAGGAACTGCCTTTCTAACAAGAGTAAGAGGCTTTGCACTCGCTCCTCATTGATCACTTGAGGGTTTAGGGTCTATCAGATTTGTGAAGCTTTGCAGCAGAAGCCACAGGAAACCGTGGTTTTACAAGGATTCCCAGTGAAATCCAAACAACACCCATGGGTGTTGAAAGGTTTGGTGTTCAGGGTTCAGGGTGGGTTAGGGTTTAGGGTACGGTTTAGGATTTTTGGGCTGTAGGGGAGAGGGGGTTCTGCGAATGGAGGAAAGTAGAGCTTTCATTATGATGAAATTTTTGTGTGAAGAACGATGGCTCAGTTTTGGAGGGGGGATGGAATTCTGGGATTTCTGGGTTTAGGGAGAGGAGAGGACAGGAAGAAGAGAGGAAAGAGGAGAGGAAGAGGAGAGAAAGAGCAACGGGACAGGAAGAAGACAGGTAAGTCTTTTGTCTCAGGGTTTGGTGTTTGAGGGTTGGGGGTTTAAGGTTTGGGGATTTAAGAAATTTCAGGGTGAAGGGTTCTAGGGTTTAGGGTTTAGGATGTCAAGCTTGGGCTTCGAAAGCGTTTACAAAGACAAAGAGTTTCAAAAGGGCTTTCAAGGTTTCTTCAGCAGGTATAGAGGGCACTTGTAAAGCCTTTAAAGCGCTTTATAAAGGGCTTGCAGGGGTGCCCTTGTAAGCTTATACAAGTGTTATTGAGGTGATGGTCCCAGTTACGTCGCCCGCGTTCCTGTTACAACCATCACCCTGCACCTAAGATCCGCGGAGGCGGAAACTCTTCCGGCCCTTCCAAGCCCAGTTTTTTCTCCGTTGCACGTTAGGGACGTTCTCAGGAGCTCATCAGCATCGACCACCGCAAGGCCCGCGAGGATGCCGAGGTGGTCCCGCGGTTCTGCTCCTGTTCTGCCTAGTGACTAATGAAAGGGAAAGTTCAGAGAAGAGAGGCAAGTTTCAAGTTCGACTGCAGGCTTGAGAGGTGGCATAGTTTCAGCCGTGTCGATCGTTAAGGGAGGCCCGCTAGTCCGCACAGCCGTGCCTGAGAAGCGGGGACTGGAGGTGGTCGTGTGCATGCGGGGCGTGACAGCACAAAGTGCAAGTGGCGTCAAGGCACGCAGGTGTCAGGTGCGCTACTCTGGAGAGCGTAAGTTGCAGTGCGGCAAGGAAGCCGATCCAGTTCAGCCGTCGACGCGCTGCATTGGGCACACTGCGAATAGTGAGAAGTTCTTTCCCGCACAGAGCAGATGGAAGACGTGTCTTGCTTCTGATGCTGCAATGTGATGATGGCACACGGAAATCGTTCAGCCAAGCTCTAAGGCCAAAGCAAGGAAGATGATGCGGCCAGAGATGATACCTCTGCGGCAAACCAGAGAAAAAAACCAGCCTGATTGCACCAAAGTTAAGCAGTACGTGGATTATTGAAATTGAGTCGTTTATGATCTATTCCGGCCATCCTAGTCTTGCACCTTGGCGGTGCCTTTTAGAAGGAAAGTCGCCGCGCATCCGCATAAAACATCCCCTACTCTAGCAGAACCGTCGGCAGTGGGCCTAGTCTTTTTCGTGTGCGCGAGGTGGTCCGACGGTCGGTCTGCGTTCTGGAGGCCGAGGTCTGCCAGTTCAAGGAGCCTGGGACAAGCGACGCTGCGAGCATTTTCATGTGCTCTCTCTGTCATCTCTCCCAGACCTTTCGACCCTGCAGCAAATCCCGCCAGCGAACGGGGAAACGAGTTCCTGTCGTGCATGCAGCCTTATTCAGAATGGTCCCGTACTTTGAAGCTGTCGGCTAAGAGGCAAGGCAGCAGGTTTTGCAGCATAGCTCAACGACGCGGTTCTGTCAAGAAGCATGCTGAAAGAAGAGCCTTATCACCCACGGTTTGCAATTTCGATTCTCTGGTCGTTTTGGATGCAGCTTGAGGCTTGATGCTGAGCTCCGAAAGTCCCGTTCAGGGATTGTTTCAGGGTTTTAGGGTTTACTACCCCGAATGTGTCAGGACTCTGTGGCGAGCTCGCTGCAGCAGTCGACAGAGGAGAGGGGCTGTTCACAGGTTTTGCCGTTTCAAAAAGTGGCCATATCTTTGTCGTCAAGTGGAGGAGATGTTGCGACGGCTGAGGGTCCTCGAAGATCTGGTTGCGACAAGCCAACAGACAGCCCAGCCGCTTAGCAGTGTTAGGTGTTGTTTGGTTTCTAGGCTACCTCACTGCATCATTGTTTCGGATGGAGCCCAGTGCCCCGAACAATCGAGCCTTTCGAGTGGACACTGTCGAAAACATAGAAAGAATCATGTGCGCATAGAGATGCAACTCTGCGGCTTGACAGGCAGAAGACCGCTCTGCAGCTGGAATCTTGGGCAAGAATCTCCGTACTGGGATGGTGAAGTTTCGGGGATTTTTGCCGGGCATTGACCGGCCTCAGCGCCCTATGGAGCTTCAGAGCGCTTTCAGACAACGGCCCAAGGAACCCCAGAACACGCCAGTGCAAACTAAAAGCGAAACATCCGAAGTCATGGAGGAAGTCTTAGGAGAAAGTTAGAATTAGAAGCAAGCCAGCTTGGAAATTCGGACGCGTGGTCAGAGGGTGAGGCCTCGTCTCAAAAGCAGCAAACGATAAGCGTCCTGTTGTCATTGTGTGTGAATAACATAAGCCGAAGCTGACATCGCATCTTCGCAGCGGAGGAGGAGGAGTGGCATGGTTTTGGTCTTGAGTTTTGATTAGTAGTGTACTGGACATGGCTGCAGGGTCAGGGGCTATGCCTACTTGGCAAGAGCGGGTTTTCAGTTTTCGTGTACATCTGCTGTACGGACCCCTGTTTGGTTGTTTGCAAGCGCTCCCTGCTCTTAGCATACCGTTACGATGTCTTGCTCAGCTCATTTTCCGGCATGCTTACTGAGGGCTGTCTCTGCTTTCTGCCAATTTGGAGCCGGTTGTTCGCTGCGACTATGTCGACAAGCCATCCAGGGGTTATGATCTGAGGAGAATGTGGACCAGAAGGTGTTGCTGCAATCAACTGTGGTTGCGGATGTTAAGCAGGAGTGCCGCCGCTGCTTGCACGTTCTGATGTCAATGTGCCAAAAATTAGAGCTTTGCCAGTGAGGACGTCCTGACGGTGAAGGATCATGTCCTTCAGTGTGAAGAGAGACTCAAAAAGGCACCCCGACAAGCAGATCTGACCGCGGCGGTGAAGAGAACTTTCGAGGAGATGTCCCAAGAGTTTCATGCAGAGTGCTGCTCTGGTTGCAATAAGGGTGCCCGGGTGCATGTTCTCACTTCGAGTATTGACCATGCGCGATTGCCCAAACATATGCTGAGGCAGACAGCTCTACCTGAAGCCGAGTTTCCAGGTGCCTTTGCCAGCAAGCCCTGAAACTTGCGGGTCTCCTCGTGGCACATCCAGGTGAGCTTCCCGGAGTCCTTGAACCAGGACTGACCCCAGACTAAGCTGCTTTCGACTCGTTCGTTACGATGGACGAATGACGGTTAGGACCTGCGTGAGATCAAGGAGGCCGTGGAAACGGAGAGGCGAGAGCGGGAGCAGTCAACGGCCGTCTGCCTAAAAAGCGACGAGCCAAGTCCAGGCTTCGAAATCTCCCGGCCCAGGTCGCATCCTCTGCCGAGTTCACGAACCTTACCAAGGAGGTGCAGAAGATGGGACAGGCGCATGCCGCAGAGCATTGTCTGCGGAAGCTGAACATCGTGCGAGATGCGCAGGACGTTCAGGGGCTGGAGGTCACTGTCACTGAGCGGGTGATGTCCGAAGTTCAACACGTTCAAGATATCTTCGCGATTCTGGCACCTCGACCATAAAAAAAGGGACGGCTAGACCTGTTAGACTGCTTTATTAGAAAGGCAGAGGGAGTTGGGGAGCCGGGGCCGCTGGGCCTTGAGGAGAGCAACTTCCTGGGAGTGGTGCGGAGCCAGCTCGACAAGGCGACGGCCTCCTTCTCCAGCACGCCGGGGGGCCCGGCTCAGAGATGTCACCAGATGTACAGGCAGAGCGAGGCGACCAGGATTCAACATCTGACTTAGGGACGGACCTAGGGGGCCCAAAAACCAGGCCTGAGTCCTTACTCCTGTTTCTGCGACCCCAGGACCTCCATGTTCAGGACAAGCTTGAGGCGGGATGTGGAGAAGATGCTGAAGGACACCACCTCGGGCCAGGCCAGCAGGGTCTCAAAATTCTTGTGCCGATCGCAGCATCATGGATGAGGTACCGCATAGCTGAGCTCCGATCCTGATCGCAGGCCCATCGGTCGCAAACCACAGCTCCAGCTGCGGAGGAGCCAGGGGACACAACGCCGGGATTCCCAGTGAGATGCTCAGACAAAGACTAAGGCAGGCACTTGCATGCTTCGAAGGCACTCCTGCAAGATGATCGAGACCATCTTTGCTTGTTTCAGCGCCTTCGTCGCCTTCTCAGCCAGGACGTCGAAATCCCTTGAGGTGCAGATGCGTGCAGTTTTGAGGAGTTCTGCTTGCTTGTCACCAGCGCGATGCTGGAGCTGCAGACGCAAGACAGATTCCTGGCGGCCATCGCCATCGTGGTAGGCAGGGTCAGTTTGCGCTGAACATTGCTGATCCCATCACTCGATTATTGTATGTTCAATGCGATCTTCGGAGAGTGGTCGTCGTTCCCGTGGCTGTGTGTTTTTGACAGCAGTGCTTGTGTCACACACCATCGGCCAATGCTTGTGCGAGGTATGCACACAAGCACATGTGTCACTTAGAGCTGGATGAATGCATGCATGTCCATGTCTTGCAAAACCCGTTTGGCCCGGAATAGCCGGCAGGTGTAGTGTAAGGGTGGGCTTTACCTCGCTGGAGCATTTCGGGGTTTTCAGGGGGAGCGATTGCGCCCAAAGTGGCGAGCGGGCATTTCGGAGTTTCAAAAACACCGTCGGAAAGAACTTGAACCGACATTCCAAAAACTTGCTAGAATTTGGGCGGGGCGGGCGGGGCTGGAACTCCTCGATGTTTTTGTCTTGTGTGCTTCTAGCTAACCACCCATCAGTCTCTTCGATGCTCATCATTTCTCCATGTGTGCTTCCACCTCCCTCCAGCTCCCCGGGCCCCCCCCCGCGGAGCGGTGAGCAGATTTCTGATGTTTTTTCGCAGGTTTCAGTAGAATTCTGCAAGTTTTGGCCTGTTGGACTGTTGACTTCAGCCTGGCGCCGGTGTTCTGCCTGGTTGCCAAGAAGCACCGAGATCAACTTGTTTGGCTTCAAGGAGGCCAGAAGCAGGACATTTTGTTAGCAGATCCTTGCCCAATCCGAGCCAGCGACATCATCTGCACATCTTCCCCCTGTCATCGCATCGGCTTTAAGTCATCGCTGCGATCCCAGACTGCCCAGCTTCACGCGGTCCCTGCTAGCCTCAGCCTCCCTGTCCAAAGCGCTGAAAGAGTCATCGATCACGTTGAGCAGCTTCAACTCCATTGACTTGGAGATCGGAGTAAAAAGGAGCTTAGTCCTCTCTTGGCAGGTCCATACCTGCTCAACTGTGCTGCATCCTGAGCCGTGGCTTGTGTACATCAAGCAGGCTAGCCGTCACTACCTAGGTGGCTGTGCTGATGTTCTTCTTCCTTCTGACCGATGCATTGGCCAGGTCTGCCTGCCAGCTTCCCTTCTTGTGCACATCGCTAGAGAAGCAGCAGGTTGACATGAAGAGGGAGACAGCCAAAGAGAGAGCATGGCATTCCCAGGTGGATGAGGCAGAACTGGGGCCATGCACAGCGCCTCCTGGCCCTGGCAGTGCTGAGGCACGCTGAGGGGAGCAGACAAGGATGCGGCCTTGTGCATGAAGTTGTGGTGGTGCTAGCTGTGCGATGCTGTGCGTCTGCCTGCGAGACCGGACTGGCTGCGCGTCTTCAGTCTCTATGCACCGCAGCTGCGGTCGGCGCCGAATGCCTGGGAACAGCGCCGGTGGCAAGAGGCCCTCCGGAGGCGTACCGCGCTGCTGCAGCAGGACACGGAGATGAGATGCAACCGCAGTTTTCAACCACTGGAAATTCAGGGTGGGAGCTGCAATTCTCTCTCTCTCTCTCTCTCTCTCTGTGCACTTTTTGGGTTGAGCTCGAGGTGTGCATGCATCGTAGACTTAAGCGCAGGAGTGTGATGAGCTCAAGCTGTTGGTCCGGCCGACGGAGGCGACGGAGGCACCAAATCTGCAAAATCCTCGGTGAAGTGGCAGGTGGCTCACCCAGAGGGGGACGTCGAGGCATATCGCCCGCAGGTGGGAGGAGCACAATCGTCGTAAGCTCCGCATGTCCGGCCGGACTTCGCACCAAGCAGGGAAACCTGATGGCTGGAGGCTAGATCGGACCGAAACCGAGTCTACCTTCGCTACAGTCACCGTTTCACATAGCAGCCGTAGCAGCAATTTGCCTGCGGTCCGATGTCCTATGATGTCAGTTGCCGGGTGGACGTGGCGCGGGCGTGGTGTCAGGTGACGGCACTACACGAGCCACAGCACGGCATGCGCCACGCACTTAGCTCCCTCATCACGGCCCTGCAAAAGGGACCGAAGCAGTTTGCCTGGTTCACCAAGGCGCACCGGCCGCGGCTCATGCACACGTAACTCTCCGGAACCACCATGCCAGCAGCCATCAGGCTGGGCTCGCCTTGAGTACCAGTAGCGGCGTAGCGCAGCGAGACGAATTGAGAAACCTCTGAGGATGCGCCACCGCCACTGGACAGCTCGGGGCTTGCGACTTCGGCGCCCCTGAGGCAGCGACGGGCATTTGCTTGCACAACACGGCCCGTGCATGAGCAGAATACACCTCGACCTAGAACTTGAGCCGTGGATCACAGGTGTTTCCGAATCTGAGAGGCCAACTTCGGCAGCCTCAAAGCCCTAAATCCTCAAAGTCTAAGTAAGCCCGAAAAATTCTAAACCTGCTTTAAATTTAGTTCGAAATGGAAACATCAGAGCAGAACTATGGCACGAAGGATCAAAGTCTAAAGCTCCAGCACGGTAGCCTGGGTCACGACCCACACTCAGCATCAGTTTCTCATAAATACTTCTTCCCATCACCCTCCGGCATCCCAAACTTAAAGCTAGCAGGTCTACAGGCTAGTTACTTGTGAATCTTCAAATCGTCACAGGTCCCAGCTGTGTGCAACGGGGTCTTGGGTATTGGCGAAGTTTTGTATCACTGCCGACCTACTGCCATGGACTCGCTTGTCCCGCAACTTGCGCAACCTCGCGTTCATGCCCTTGGCTTGCATGCAAAGCCTGCACTCACTGCAGGAAAGCATGCTTTTGTGAAAGAAAGCAGCAAGATACCTTTCTTGTGGCTTGGCGGCTGAACGTAGTTGGTGGGGTCGTAGCACTACGGAGCAACTCGCGGCCAGATCAAACGCCATTCTCTCAGAGGAACCGGATGCTGCAACGGCCTCGCGAGCAGTACGCATCTCGCACAGGTCGCCCTGGCAAGCAGCAGCGCCCACACTTTCTGTTGACGCCTACGAACCCTGAGGTTCATCCCACGCCAGGGCGGACGCAGGAAGCCTCAAGTGTGCGGGGTAAACTCAAAAAAGCCAAACACCCGCAGCAGCTGCGGCGTATTCTCGAGCAGAGCCAACAGGAGGGGAAGCTTGATGCCAGCGTGTTTGGGGCAGCTATGCAAAGATGCGGGCATGGATTGTGGTGGCATGAGCTCGTTGATGTTTATGCAATGCACCAGCAGTTGGGAATTGCCTTGCACTACATCGAAAACTGTATTTTGCTGCATGCATTGACATCTTGTCTCAAATGAAATAAGACCTCGTCGGCAACTATGGAGAGCCGGAAGCAGGAGGCTCTGAGACTGGCCAAGAGTTCCTGGGGCCAGCCTCCGCCGGCAACAGCGGCAAACTTCAATTGGGTTGAGCAGTGCACTGCGCCTATGTTCTCGCATAGGCAGCGATTTGGCGTATGCGTGGGCAGACGATATTTGGAAACAGTCCGAACTGCAGCCCTTTCCAAAGACGATGGTGACATATGCTGCGAGAATGTATCTTTGTGAGCAGCGGTGTGACTATGAGGCGGTATCTGACCTGTTGGTGCAGACTGTTCGTCACAGACAGTTTCCGAATGAGGTTGTTCTTGGCGGATTGCTCCAGGAAGCAGCAGCCCACTTTAATTGGAAACGCGCCGATGATATTTGGCAGCTGTTTCAGAGGCAGCACCAAGTGAAGCCGAACTTCTTGACATACACTGCATACGCCAAAGCTCACCTTCTTGCAGGACGGCCACATGTGAGTGTTCGGATAATTGAGACCATGTTGTCAACTGGCACTTGCAACATGGACTACAAGCTGGCGATAGAGTTTGCACAAGCCCTCCTTCTTGTATGCCACTCGTCCCTGGCCCCATCCGACATGCAAAGGCTAGCCACTTTCTTGGATGAAGGTGCCAAGATCATTGCCAAGGAGTCAGCGGGGTCTGGGAAGGACCAGTGGCAAGACTTGACATCCGGGGCAGAACGTTTGATGGCCGACCATAGCTCTGTCACTTTTTTTGACCTTCTCATCACCCTGAATGCCCGTGAACTCAGCGTGATGAAGTCTTGGCCTAATTACCCGTCAGGCAGCGGCTACTTGAAAGAATCCGTCCCTTCGTATGCGGTAGTGCTACCTTGAAGATTCGGGTGTAACAGACCTGAGGATTTCACCGGGTTTACAGTGGGCTTGAGGGGTCTTGAGGTCGTTGGGGTGGAAAGCGTGACGGGTTTGAGGGGCCTACTTGTTTGAAGCCGACGTTTACTGGTCTGAAGCCTTGGTGGTAGTAGACTTGAGTCGTACAGATTTAGAGTCATGGGAGTATGTTGTGACACAAAGGCCTTGGTTGCGAATCAGAACTGTCAGGTGCTTGTTCTGAACGTAAGCAGGATTGGCTCCGCACGACCTTGCACTCGTTGTTGTGAGAGTCGAAGCCGCCGATATTTGCTGCAGAATTCCGCATGCGCATTGGCAGAATGAGAGCTTGTGCCGCTGTTGACCAGGTCAACCAGCATCCCTGCTGCCACAGGCCAGGCAGCTTTGCTCTCAAAGCAAGCAGATGAGAGCCAGCCGCAGGTGCAGCGCCTCCGACTTCGCCGCTGCGGAATCGAGAGTGGGACGGATGGCTCAGGCAGAGTCGGCTGAGTCGGCTTGGCCTCACAGATGTGGTCACTGCAGGACGCACTCGCAGCAAGAGGCGCAGCGAAGCCCAGGCCCGGGTTGCAGTAGAAAGTGGAATGCAGATTAAACGAAGCTTTCTATCAGGATCAAAGGTAGTTCAATTTGGACCAGTTAAAGTTCAAGACAGGATCAGGAAAGGCTTATGCGGCACTGCCGCCTGCCCTGCTACAGTATTGCTACAATTTTGATCATAGAAATCACTTGTTCGATCGTTACCAGTATCAGTGCTCTTACGCTCATAACTGTTACAAGTACTAGTATGCGTACGGATTTTGCTAATATTTTCCATTTTTCTATGATTACGATGAACGTTTTGTTACTCTTATTGCTATTCTTACCAGTGTGCCACTAGTGTGCTCTTCATGCTACAATCACTCTCACTATCTACAGCTGCTATTACTTGTTTTGCTTCTGTTACGATTACACACACGTGCACTCGATATTACTATTTTTTCTAGTGGTCTTCTCCGATTATGGAGGTTTTGCTGTTGTTACTATCATTGCTTTTTGTACTGTCATGGTCATTACTAGTATGATTACTATGGTTCCTACAAATAGTTTGCATTCCCTGTAATTTAACATAATCACTATGATCACTGCTATTGCCATTATTGCCACTATTGCTATTGTGAGAATTTTGCTTATGATTGGTATTAGTATTGTTATGATTGCTATTGTTTCTTGTATGGTTGTTTCTTCGATTTTGCTATTGTCTGAGTATTAGGTCTATTAGAACAACTCACCATTATCAGTACTGTTACTCTTCTTCCTATCACTACCATGATTACTATTAACTCGTCCGAGACTACGCTTTCTTCGCGCCTGTCGCTATAATAAGCACTTCTATCATGGCTATATCAGTGTTGCGATTAGATTATTGAAACCTTTGTTGTTATTACTCCTTGTATTCATATTTTCGTTATTGTTGGTATTATTTATTCTTACCATCACTATTATTTGTATTCTTTATGATTTTGGTATTGATACCACTATGATTACGATGGCGACCATTATGACGATCATTAATCAAGTGTTGTTGCCATTATCGACTTTTCTCGCCACTATGTTTGCTTTTTTCGTTTGTCTTATCCCAATTACTATCATCACTCATGTTGTTGCTTCATTGACAGTGTTGCTACTGCTCTAGCTAGTGCTATTCTTGCTGTGATTACAACTGTGAACATTGTCACTGTGGCTGCCTTTATTTACCGATTGTAATTTTCAGCTCGAGCCACAATAACAACCAAATGAAGAATTCCGGAGTTATACCGGCGCCGCCACCTGAAACAGGATCATGGAGATCGGAATTTTCCAAGAGCTTGCCGTACGTAACACCTGCTCGCCATAGCTTGTCACTAGTCAAGACAGGCAGCAGAGGTGAGTAGTTTCTTCCTGATCCCGTTTTGCATTTTGTTCTTGATTCCGGACGGTTGAATGATTTCTTCATCTCCAAAAAGTTGCTTTTGTTGATCCGGCACCTTTGCGGATTCCGCTCTGAGGATCTGGCTTTCCGAGCCCAAGCAGCCCTGGCAGCCCCGTCAGTGCCCCAGGGCTTGGACGACCGGGCCCGGGCCTGGGCGCCACGTCTCCGCGGCGAGGCAGAGGTCTGGCGGTCTGACTTCTGACGGGGCGGGACAGGAGAGGATATGAAAGGAAGGGGCTTGCAACGACGCAGCGCGACGATCTCTAAGCGTGACATACATACGGCCTTGTATGATGTTCGAATCAGCTTCTTGCTTGTGTCGAGAGTGCTGCTTTCAGCGTATCGCACCTCAGATCCCCAAGTCTTTGTCGAGCCAAATGAGGGCATGCGTGGATAGAGCATTCCTAGAAGATTCACAGTGTAAAGGGTGTTTAGACGAAACCCGGCGTCTTTTCATGATCTGCTCCGGCCAAGAGTAGGAGTAGGGCGATGTGAGACTGGCATGCCAGGAGCCGATGGCCAGGCATCCTGCACACCTCGCCTCGCGACGCATGGAATCCGTTCTCGAAATTCTGCTCTGTGCAGGCCCTGGGCATCGTGCCACACATGCCGAAGTCGGTGCAAGGCCAGGGCTCGGAATGGCTCCGTAAACACCACCGCCGGAGAAAGCTTATTTTCCGTGCCATCTTCCAGTATTTCCACGCATGCATCCTATGAGGACTCGCATGTTCTGATTTGCGCACTGCAGTAACCTTGAACCTGCACCATGAAGTGTGTTGGACGGTTGAGCTGTGCACGAGCTGCGAGAAGTCCCCGGGGCTTTCTTGTTGGAAGGTACTGCCGCAACCAGCGTTGGTGCACTTCCGGAAGCAGAAATCCTGCCTCACTCTTGCTTGGTTTGTGGCCTCGCGCCACTCAGCACACCGAAGAGAACCGCGGCACACTACAATTTTTTCATGTGCTCCGCCCTCAGCAACAACTGATCCGCGGCTGCACTAAAAGGATTCGGACCGAGGTCTGGCTACCCTGGCTTTCGCTTTGTACAGCGAGTTGCCCAAGGCCCCCCGGGGGCCCCAGGGCCAGTCTTGCGCACACGGCTTCGATTCCGAAAGTGCCTGGTAGGTTTGGGTGACCGTGATCTTGATGTCGCAGTCGGTGGAGCCCGTGTCTGCCATCGTCCGCGTGCCAATTGTCACCATCAACGGCCTGTGCCCTCCCCTGATCCAATTCATGATACTCAGGGACCCAGACCCCGCGGAGCCATGGCTCAGGTATCTGCTCTGGTGCCTTCTGCTGGTTTCGTGGCCTGCTTGCAATCCAGTGAAGCCAAGATGCAGAGCGGAAAAGTTTCCATCCCAGGCACCACCTCCTGTCCTGGTGTGGCTGCAGACGGGTGACCGTGCACACTCAGCAGCCGAGCATGCTCAGCATCCCGCCAGATCATTACGGCACTGCGTGTGGCTCGTGTGTCTCACCCTGAAATGCTCCGAGCTCTCCGTCCACCATGCCTTGTAAGGAGTGTCAGCTACTGTGTCGGCATCGGAGGATGCTGTGATTCTTCACTGGCAGCCTGGCTGCGTGACAGATGCATCCATTCGGCGCGGGCTGTAGGCTGTAGCCAGAGTCAATTGGCGGTTTGTGGTTCCGTGGTTGCCATCGACGCCTTCTTCAGCCTCCTGCGGACCACCTGCTGCCCCCGCATTACCTGCTCTGAGCGGAAAGGAAACGGGCGCCCGATGATGCTGCTGATGCGCGCTTAGGTGTTTCCATCGTATCAGTGCACACATCTCCACAGGCCCCAGCCAGGTTCGCGGGTGCAGAAACTATGAATAGCTCGGCTCTGCTTCCCCTGTCGCGCTCGACATAAATTGAAAGAGCAGGACGCTAACGCTGAACTCAACTCCAGGCGCCCTCCAACTGGCTCCCCGAAGCTCGCCACCCACCAAGCCATGAAGAGTCAGCAGCCACCACGCCCATGCAACGAGTTATCCCAACCACCAATCCTTTACAATGGTGTGCTCGCTGGCAAGCTCGCCTCCCGTCATTTGCATTCAGTCTTTTTCCGACCACCTAGTACGATGTTATACGGGCCCCTGCATCTCTCGATCGACCCAGCTGTTTGTTCATGCTTTCTCAAGAGGTAATCGGCAGAACGAGTCCAACAGGACTAGCAAAACCAGGCGATCTTAAGATGCCCAGCGCCATGAACAAGAAGGGGACAGGAGCAGTTTGAGGAAGAGTCAATTGCGAAACGTCAGACCCACTAAAACACGCTTGCAAGTTGATCACCTTGTGACTTGGTTTGCAACAGACAGATCAAGTTTGTCATGCTGATGATGCTGATTTTGGGAACGAGAACGAGACGTATGGTGCCAAGTGTGCCAAACACGAAGAATGATCAGGGAGCGATGCAGCACGCAGATGCAACTTCCACGCCGCGCAGGGGAGGGTGGGGAAGCTTCGTTGGGCAGGGCTTCCAACCCTGCCCCCTTGTCTGCAAAACGAAGGAAGGCACAGATGCACAGACGCCCAGACGCCCAGACGCGCAGGCGCACACACGCACACGCACATGCACGCACACGCACACGCACGCACACACACACACACACACAAGCACCCCGCCGTGTTGAGGTGGAGCCAAGACGGCCACAGATAGCAACATCACTTGTATACATACAGTAGCCATGACAAGACGAATCACAAGAAGAAGGGCCGCAGAGATTATGAGCGGACAGAGCCGGGTTCGACTTGATCAGTCAATCAATGGCGGCTCCAGGTTGACAGCAAGACAGTATAATGTTGTTCAACACGGTTTGCAATTACGAGCAACCGTCGGCTCAGAACCCCACGAAAAGGCAATTCTCGTTGACATCGCTCAGATAGGTATACCTGTTCTCATAGCAGAATTCAAGGAAGCGAGCAGTGAAAGTCGCAGTCCGACGAAGAGGAATGAAACCATGAAAGGATTGCGTTGTTAGTGGCAGCATCAAACGAACCTTCGGCTTTCAACAGCTCTTGTTTACGTCCGCAGCTAAGTTCGTTCGCTGATTTGTTCGCAGCTTCAGGCAACACCCAGCGGTGCCGAAAAAGGCTGGCCTCGTCGTCAGAGCTGCTGATTCTGTTGGTATGATTTGTTCTCTAGAGATGCCGACTGGAATGCGTTTCAGAACTGCACATTCATGCGTTGCTTTCCACCCCACTGACTTGCCTGCCCTGACCTAAGAGACTCTGACACACATCCCCTGCGAAGGGCATCGAGCCGGACGAGTTTCTCTGCGCGCTCTACAACCTTCAAGGCCATGATGCCGACAGGCCTATCCGGCTTCAGCAGCTGGCCTTCAAGTTCAGCAAGGCACTTCAAAGGCCAAGCACAGCCATAGCATGAGCTCTTGCAAGAAATCCTGTGGTGACACAAGCCGAGGCGGGTACCGGCTTCACAAGTTGACCCGGAGACTGGAGGAGCTCGTGTAGCGGCCATGTCTGTGTTTGGTCTCGGGACGGTGCAGGGCTTCGGTGCTACTTCGGTGACCTCTGCCCGGGCAGCGGCTATGTGGCAGCAGTGACGGCGGCACGGGGTGGCCTTGGACTCGGGGAGCGCCGGCCTCAAGCCCGCACGGCCTCCACTCTTCGCCGTAGTCTCTGCGCCTCTCTGCTGTGCACTTTCCCGCCGCAGTTCCGCTCGACGAAGGCCAAATCTTTGTTGTTTGTAGCCTAAAGAGATGGCCGTGCTGGAAGTCCAGTCAATGACAGGCGAGGCACTTGCCAGTCTTGACATGAGTATCTTCGCTTTGGAGAGTCCCACAATTCTAAGCATCAAGGAGAAGCTGCAAGAACAGCTGGGAATTTCAAGCTTTCGGCAGAAACTACTGCTCGACCACGAAGTGGTCGGCAACGATGCCACTTGGAGCTCCCTTGGGTGTCCCGCCGCTATGCTCCTGGTTCTCGTAGAATACGTGAACGGAGTGGAGGAGAAACTTCTTAGCGCAGCAGCGGAGGGCAATGTGGGAGAATTGCAACGGCTGCTGGAGACGCCCCAGCAGCCTGACTGCCAAGATGCTGCTGGTGAGACCGCCGTTTACAAAGCAAGTCTCAATGGCGATGTTGCTATGCTCGAAATGCTAAGACGAGCGGGAGCTGATGTGAACAAAAAGGCTGTCAACGGCTCGCCCCTCACGGTTGCAGCACTGCATGGGCACCAGGAGGCAGTGCGTCACCTGCTTGCCTCACAGGCCGACCCTCGGGTGGCTTCGAACGGCAAGGCTGCATTGCATACTGCTGCTGCGCTAGGCCATCTTGAGATATTGCAAATGCTTCTGGATGCGAGTGCGGAGATGAACGCAACGAACTCGAATCGAGCAACTGTTCTCCATCTAGCGGCCGAGGGTGGACATTGCAGGCTTCTTGAGTACCTGCTCGATCATGGAGCCGAGAAGGATGCAGCGAACAGGGTGGGGGCAACTGCGTTACACATTGCAGCTGCTTTTGCGAGGGCAGAGGCCGCTGAGATCTTGGTGTCGTCTGGAGTCTCCTTGATGGCTCGGAATACCAACAACGCAACGGCTCTCCATTTGGCTGCGGAAGGGGGGGATCTGGAGGTGATTCGCGCACTGATACGGCCCCTACGAGAGGCTCCTACGGTACAAGCCGCGTCTGAGGTGCTCGATGTCCCGAACCGTGTTGGTGCCACAGCTCTGCACTGTGCCGCGCAAGCAGGGCACTTGAAGGTGGTGGAATGCTTACTGGAGGCGGGTATTGACAGAGATGCCACCAATCGGAATGATGCTACTGCTTTGCACCTGGCAGTGGGCCGGCAAAGGTTGGAGGTGGTGAAATGCTTGTTGAGCGCTCGCGCAAGCGTGCATATTCGCAACGATGGCGGCTCCATACCCTTGCTGCTTGCCGTGAAGACCGGAAATGCAGAAGTGGTACAAGTCTTGCTGGAAGCCGCTTCCGACGTAGAGTCCCGGAACCTGGCAAAGGAAACCGCCATGAGCCGCGCCTTGGACCTCGACCTCCAAGAGACTGAGATCCGCGGGCTTCTTGAGGCTGCGATCGCCGCAAGGCCCCCTGAAGGAGGACCTCCCCGTGAGACCCACAAAAAGGTGCAGGACGCACGTGTCACGTCACGCCGCTAAGAGCCCTTCTACCGGCTGGCCTTGTGTTGATGTGTGTTCGTTCGTCTCAGGCCAGCTCGACTTCCATGCCGAACTTTGCCGCACGTGTTGCCAGCCATCCCTGACCATGTGGTCCTGAGGACGTGAAGAGCCCCCCCCTAGTGCCCGAGTTATGCGGCCATGCGTACTGGCACGGGTAGTTGTGCGGCAGGAATTCTGGTCCTACTTGGGCGGAGCTCACTTGGGAAGAGCCTTGCGCCCGTTCCCGAGCGTGAGGCTTGCAGTGCAGTCGCAGCGCATGATGGATCGGTCCGGCAAAAAGGAGCTTCTGCTGGAGCTCTCCAGCGAGGGCTTTCGGCGCACAGAGCTTGTGTCGCCTCCGGTGCAGCTGGAGGGGCTGAGGCCCAACACCGAGTCACTCGGCCCTATCTACATAGATGTCGTCGTGTCGACTGGACTTTCCGACTTTCGCAAGGTATGCTGTGGCAGTGAGCACGCTCTGCGAGAATCGTCAGCTGGTGCCGAAGTTCCTCAGCTTGCATATGAAACTTTTCAGAGTGGGGCGAGGACGCACAACCCATGAGATCCAGCGCTCTAAGCAATGGGGCTTACCGTCGTTGAGCTAAGGCTGTCCTTCGTGACGCCGCAGGAAGACTTGGGTTCTGGTGCAATGACTTCCCTGACAGCTGCCATGAAAGACTTGGGGAGCATCAAAGAGCACCTTGGCTCTTGGCTGTACCTGCGCTTCTCACAAGTTGAAATCGACCGTCTCGATGGTTCTTGGAGGTCTCTGGGAGCCATCCATGCCGGGGCGGCCAACGCCGAGGTGCTCCGACACCTCGCAACGCTGCAGGACAGCTGGGCCGCTCGGCAGAGATCCGAGCGTCGCAGTCGCTGTCCGAGAGCCGCTTGGGCACAGGCCTCGATGCAGCTCCCCGGCGTTGCGGAAGAGCTGAAGAAGCTCATGGACGCCAATGACCAAATGAAGAAGGACATTTCATTGGAGTTTAAGCCAGTGCCTTCCGGCAGCAAACGCCGGTTACTGTATGACTACTGCTTTGTACCGTAGCTCCGCAGCCGTGTTGATGCTGAGTTGTGGCCATGTCCGAGGCTTTCAGAGCTGCAGGGCATCCATCATACTCTCTCGACGCTGATCTTGCTTTGGAGGTTCAAGGTCCAGGAGGGAATAGATGCCTGTGTCCGACACGTCCTATGTGCCACCGAGGACGTCTTTGTGATAAGACACCGAAGGCAAAGGAGGGACCTTTGCCTGCATTGTCGAAGCTTATGCCTATGCCCCGCTTGAAGGCAGACTGCGATGTACAAGGATTGCCCTCGAATTCGCTGCCTGTGCTTCAACAAGAAGCCGATCTGTGGCAGTCCGCGGTGAAGCTGTGCCAGAAAATAGAGCCGTCCAGCCCCAATCTACGTCCTTGTCGTCGCACGAGCTTTTGGCCGCTGCACTTAGTTTATTGGAGTAAAGCCATTGCGAAATGCGCAGGGGAACTCCATGTTGATAGGTCACTGCAAGGTGGGCAACGAGCGGGGATGTGGCTTTAGGATAGTGGTATACTTGGTACATGCTATGCACTTTGAAATGTAATGTAAGTAGTGTCATGTAGTGTGAGAATCCACCGAGCCGAGCCTGGCCCAGCCCGATGCCTTCGCTCCTTGAAAGGGAGCGCTTGTACATGATGCCGTGATGGAAGCGCTGTGCTGCTGCCAGACCCGACGCCATGCAACTCTTTTTTTGCAGAGCTTCCATGACGGCAGCTTAGTCCTGAAGCGACATGCTTCGTCTACCACGTGTGACGTGTCACGTTCGGAATGTGTTGTTGAGTTTATGCTGTTCAGGCTGCTTTAAAAGTTTCTGTCCGCACTTCTCGCAGCAATGGGAGCACTGACCAGAGCATAAGGAAAGCTTTTCGAGCATTGGTGACCATGGGAAGTGCAGCAGTAGCCATAGCAAAGGAGTGATCCCAGTAAGCATGGCATACGATGATCGTCCTCGCCACGGTACCGGCAATGGCTGGTTACTCCTCGCAAGCGGTGTAGGTAGACAAGTTGTGTTGCCGTATGAGAGTATTTGCTGGCAGCGATGGTGGTTGCGCAAGCCGTAGTAGCCTTTGGATATCAAGCAGAATGTCCATTTTGCTTTGGGTTTGTAGACGGCCAGGCCAGGCTGTGACATCATCCCAAAGAAGTCTAGAGAGCGCATCTACACTTCACTTCCCTGTGTAGTGCAGTCGTTTGGACCGTTGCCGTGAGGCAGTTAGATCACGGTCCATAGCAGAAGCATGGAGCACTCAACTACCAGCGAATCCTCCTGGTACTAATGCAGCAGGCAGATCGAATCAAGGAGCCAAATAGATCAATAGGATCCAGCTCATGGTTTTGGGTGTTCAATGGTCGGGGCCAGACAGGGGGACGAGCGCAGGGGGGACTTCTGAAAATCTCAGCGTCGAAATGCTGATGGTCCAGACCTGTATGGTGGTTATAGGATGAGGCTTCGAACGCTTGCCGGGGACAAGCGTGCCCTATGCCCTATGCATTGCTGAGGTCGGATGAGTCAGTCCGGCATATGTACAAGACTTGCCCTCAAGGAAACCTTAACGCCGCCACCAAAGAACTGACGCGCTTCCCGCTCCAAGCAATGAGCTTCCAGCACACCCTACCTGGCGTGAAAGGTTGCCAATCCGTCACCAAGCCGAAAGGGTGCGTCAGCACCAAAGCTCTTGCAACGGATGGATGTGAAGCACTAGCTCCAATGGTTACCTTTGCCACGACAGTAAGACCTGTGGTTGGTACCTCGGCCACCCTTTGATTCCCTTTCACGACCAGCGTGTTGCATTCTATGAACGCCGCGATGTTCGTACCTCAAGCAACATTAATCAAACTTAGATATAAAGAAATGGCAGATAACATGACAGAAGATACAGAAGATGCAGCATCAGAGGCTTTGACTGTCATTTTGGTGTCGTCGTAGACTTAGCTTCGCTATACGGGAGAAGGTACAAGCCGATGGTTGAGGGGTTGCACCTGGATAGTCAGGAGTCGGAAATTAGCACATCCTTCAGGAAGTCTAAGAGTCGACAAGAAGTCACAAGTATTCTACCTGGCGTCTTCAGCTCCACGTGTCGCTCTGCATGGCGGTGGATCCTGCATGTTTCAGTAGAAGCATGAACTGGCGTGTTTGCGTTGCTTTGAGAGCTCTAGGCGGGCTGGGGACTAAGTGCCCTTAATCACTGTAGTCAAAGCTTACAACACCGAATGGGGCCTCAAACAGAAGCGAAATGCTGAGTCGTTTTCCGGGTAATGTTTGTGGTCGTACAGGATGAGCTCCCTGACGCTGACACCCTGCGTATTCTGATCCTTACTGACACCCATGTGCCTTAGCTGCACTTGATGAGAGATCTCGCAAGTGCGGAAGGTGACGTGGACACACAAACGCACACAAACAGCCACATCACTATTGATTTCACTTCAGGTCGGCTTCAATGAGAAAGACAAGGTGAGCCTGAAACGGTTCAGCCTCATCTGCAGTTTCCGGTCGTTGGCTCTTGAGGTTCGTGGGAAAGACTCCTTGGAGACGCTTGAGGACCAAATTGTAGCTTCCGCCAAGTCCCTGGCCCCTCCTGTCATGCTGAGAGGAAGCGCTGCAGATCGGCAAGAATGGCCGAGCAGATCTCGTTTTGCACGGTGATCATCTAAGCTTCTTGCGAGAGGAGCAGCTTCAGCAATGGGCGGCCACAGCTTCTGCACTGTGCCGCGTGCAGGTGGGGACCTGTTCCATGAGAACAAGCCATCCAGGCGACCTCCCGTCGGACTTTGCAGATGTCTACGTGCTAGGGCTGAGCATGCCCTGTCAGGGGATGTCTCTTCAGAACCATGAACCTTCTGAAACAGTACACGATGGGTTCTGGAGAGGCCATGCAGCTTTTGGAGCAAACAGTAGGGGCTCCGGAGTCTGCTTCAGGTGGCCTTCGAGGTCCGAGAGCTTGGAATGGCTTCTTGAAGCTGCGAAGTGTCGCCGAGCTACGCGGCTTCAGGTGGTCAGCGATCTGGCCTGCTTCGGCACCGGCCAGGTCAACTACAAGGAAGCCATGATGAGGCTTGCTCTTTCTGAGGCATCAAAGAATGTAATCCAGGACCCCAACTTGAACATCGAGTGCCCCTTGTCCTGCCTTCACGCTTGAACTTAGCATTTTCATGGTCAAGCCGGTTCAGCTGCTTCCAAGCGTGTGCTGGATGCCAGCTTCATGATTCATGGGAATCATGACGACCCTGGCGGTGAGAGTAACCTCTGTGCAGCGAACATCTTGGAGGCCGCGCGGCGCCGGGCCCAGCTGTCACCTGGTACGGAACTCCCGGTTCACAGGTGGGCGGCTTGTGCAACTACTTCGGCCGCCATGAGGACCTCGAGGAGCGCATCCAGTCGAGCGGGCGACAATTTCTGGATGGAACCTGAAAAGCACGCATGAAGGACATCGTCATCCGGCCAATCTTGCTGGTCAAGGCAGGACTGTATCATGCTGCTTTCGGAACCTTTAGCCGGAAGAAGAGGGCTCACCTATGCTCTGCCATTTTGCGATGCAAAGACAACCGAGTCGACCCACCGCAAGCCTCGAGGCCAGAACAGTCGACTCACAAAGCAGAAGAAAACTCATCTGACAGCTCATGCCTGCAAATCTTTCCGGGTTGGACAACACGAAAGAAGAGCTGTGTGCCTGGTTGGAGGGCAAGACCAGAGTGGCGATCTACGGCCTTGGCAACATCCGGGATGAACGGCTGCATCGGGCTTTCCAGGTGCCAACAAAAAGTTCAGCTTTGCTTTGCTTTTGTGGCCGGTTCTTCAGCTGCATCCAAGGCGAAAAAGGTCCGCTTCGAGGCGGGCACCGCGAGAATGGCGCAGTGTGTTGCCACGCATATCTCATGCCAGACTCCTGTGGACACCGAGAAGTGGTTCCACGTGATGATCCTGCACCAGAACAGGTGAAAGCTTGGCGAGGTAGATTCTGCAGCTTCACACCGGATGTGGTTTGAGGCACAAGGGAAACAAAGGTGCAGTTCCCAGCAAGGCGTCGGAGCCTCAAAGCTGTTGCCGGCTGTGGTGCCTTTGAAGCCCCCGGCCGGAAGTGTCAGGTGCATCCATGAGGAGATGCTCCCTTCCTTCTTGGATCTGGCAGGGAGTCCTGGCAGTGAGTAGATCTCTGAACTCGTCAGCAGCTGCTCGAGGTCATCTGGGGCCACGAACACGACTGCCAGGTGAAGCCGCAGGAGACGCCGAGCCGGTTTCGTCTTGAACATCATGGCCAATCGCGCGCACATTTCACACGCCGTGGTAGGGCCAAGCTCCTAAGCCCTAAGCTGACCAGGAGTCGCTGCGTGGAGAGTTCTATGTGATGCAGCCCGGCTCTTCTGCTCGGTGCTCAGACGCGCTGCGTTCAGCGGCCCGTGGCGGACGTGTCCTCACAGCACCAGGTCGCCACGTCGCTGTCTCCACAAGAAGCAGGGCTGAAGCACGTCGCCTTGATTGATGTCAAGGAGGGCGTGTTCAGGCGAGGGCTAGTTGAACATAGAGACTGGTATGTCGTGCATGGCATGGTTCGTCAGGTGCAATCCAGTACCTCTTTGGACAGTGAGACCGTTGGCTGCGGACCAAGCTCGATGGTGTCTGACTTCGTGGAGTTGACTCAGCCCAGGTGATGCGAGACATCGCTGCTCTGACTGGTCTTTGGCAGTGGTTCACTGCTCCGCAGGGCAGAGCTGCAACTGCCAGGTGCTCTCCGAGACAGGCCTCTTGAAGACAGACACCCAGGCTCTGCTCCTCGAAGTGTGGCCGAGCACGTTCCGTTGGGCAAGTGTTGGGCACATGCTGTATGTTCGTGACCTGCATCCCTGATAGACTGCTGTATGGAGATCTGGGCATCAGGATCACTCAGACAACTGCCGGTGTCATAGTATGTCATAGTGGCACTTGCTCAACTTGATGACTTAATTACGAGCATCCGTCCAACGAGCAGAGATGTAGTCTCACCACCACGCTAGCGCTTGCCGTTAGCAGAAGCAGCGAAGCTGAAATGCCGTATTGCGTTGCGTGAGCTGCCTTTGGCTCCGACGTGGATCATGGGAACCGGAAGGACAGACTCTATGTCATGGTTTGTCAACGCATGTCAGTGTGTCATGAATAGTGAGTGCGTTCGTGCCGGCTGCACGGAGGAGTTGGAATGATTGGCGGAGCTGGCGCATTTCGATCAGTACTTCACAGCATAGTAGAGCAACGTGAGCATTCTGCGGCATGCGGCTGCGCACAAGCTTGAGTTGTACAGGAAGCCGAAGCAGCTTGCTGTCGTCATGGGCTGCCTGACCCCTGGTTGCTTTGAATCTTGACGTGGCTTCTTTCGGTCATGCCAACGAAGCGATAGTGAGGCGCCGCTGGCCTTCTCTTCGCCTTTTGGCATGCGTCTCGGGATCTCTCGGGCATTGCAGCTATGTGGAGATCAGAAGCCCACGTCCATCCGAGGCATCCGCGAGAGGGCTCCCAGAGCAGCGTCGAAGAAGGTCACAGTCAATTTCGTATATCTTCGTATCCGGATCTTCAGTATGTTCAAGCTTGCCTTTTGAGGTGGATCGCGGGAAGCGGAACTCGTTCCACTAGCGAGAATGCCATCACCTCTGCACGCTCAAAGGCACCAACCTCCGTAAATACTGAATCATCGGCATGCTGCTTCAGCCTGTTTGCATTGCTAGAGACGGTCAGTCTTTTAGTGGTCAGAAGAGCTTCTGTTACGTTCTTTCCTGCTGTCGTGTCAAGTATCAGTCCGGAAAAGTGCAACACGCAGGTTCCCACCGGGTCGTCCTGCTTAATTGTTCATGTCCTAGCAAAGACAGGCTACCCTCACAACCCTCGCCTGTGCTGCTGCGTGACATTCCTCAGGAGCACATGTTCGGCATGGGTCCAACTGCCCCTACTCAAATTGTTCCAGTGGCTGCCTGACATCTGCCAAGTGCATGGTGCACTCGTGCACATGGCGTACATAGGGTCCAAGCGCGCTGCATCGCCGGCGCACGGAAGGAGACTACACCTGCGATGCCGCAGTCGCCATCGCCGCTGCAACGGCGCCTGGATCTTCGAGATTGGCCCAGCCTGGATGGCTGCCAGGTCTGGGGGGGGCGGCCTGCATGGGCACGGGCCGAGTCGGCGGACAGCAAGCGATCAAAGCATCCAAGGGCCTTGGTTTTCTGTAGCGGCAGAAGAGCTCCAGCTTAAAAGCAGATCGTGCGTAGCTCGAGGCGATGCTGCAACGGCACCTGTTCTGTCGCGTCGGAGACATCGGTGGCTACACGTAGTTTCGTGGTGTGACGTCACTGAGCTGTCAGGCTGCGCGGAAGGATGCCAGCTCTCGGCCGGGCAGGAGTCATCCGTTGGTCCGATGTTCCGCCGGTCTCAGCGTTGTGTGGGAGTGCAAAGTGCAGGCCTTGTCTGCCCCGTGCACCACAGTACCCTTACAGGACCTGTGGCTTATTTGGAAGCCATCAGATCTTCAGCCGCTGCATTCCTTCCTTTGACCGCAGGACCAAGGAAGTTGAAAACATCATCCTCGGGGAGCGTGCTGTTGCTGCGGCCACTGGAGTGGTCGACGAAGCCCTTTGCCCTTTGATTGCACCGATTGCAGACGCGGCACATCTCTGAAAGTCCGGAAGATGAAGGCTAGGTCACGGTTGTCAGAATCTTCATAAAGCTCAGGCGATGGGTGGCACCTGTTCGGAGCAGCAAGTCAGCAAGAAGTATTTTGATCGATTGAGAGCTGATGGTTCGCTGAGTGCACCACCTGCACCTGCCAGTGTGAGTGCAACAGTGCCCAGGACATGACATGGTGCCGTCGTGCGCTGACCGGCTCGGTGGGGAACCAACAGCCAGACGGCAAGGTCCGGAGGAGCTACATGTAGCTGCTTAAACTTGCATAGCTTCTATAGCTTTCAGTAAATAGGACGGGTCCACGTACAGGAACACGTGTGTTTGTTACAATAAACGTGCACCACCACCGAAGACTTAGCACGAGGTAGCCCGGCAACTGCAAAACACATGAATGGATGGACATACCCAGCAATATCAACGAAACCTCGGGCTGTCCGAAATTATAGGACTTGCAAGCTTATCTGTGCCAAGTGGTCGATACCGTCAGGATGTGGAGACATCAGAAGGTTAACTGATAACCGCAAGAGGTGAGCACGAACGGCGAAAGTGATCCTAGATCTTGTCGGACAGAATTATTTTCTGATTTTGCGATGATCGCTCAGGCTAGAACTGAACCTCGGCTGTGCAGTAGGAAAATCGTGAGAGGGCAAGCAAGGGCTATGTTGATTTTTCATAGCCAGAGAGCATGTGTGGCACAAGCTTTGAACTCGTATCACCTGGGAGGTGATTGGCTTGTCCTATGGCATCGAGGAAAGAGACCTCTGGAGTGAGCTGGTGACTTGGCGCGGAAAGGCCGAAGTTGGAGCTGTCTGCAGAGATGGGAAGATAGACAGCCTGAACCAGAGCAGTCCTTGCTGAGGCTGAGGCACAGGATTGCAGTTCCGGGACTCGCTTGTCTGTGTCTGTGACAGTGCCTTTGCGAAGCAAGGTCAGCAACGTCTACAAGGCATCAGCATGATGGGGCTGCGACTGCGATCCGCACGAAGCCTCAGCGAGCACAGCTTGACAGGTTCCTCCACGACTTTACGATTGTTTCCAAAATCCCAAGGCCCCGGCACAGAGCAAGTTTCACGCGCAACCTTGGCTTCGATCCGCGCGTTCAGGCTTCGCCACCCCTGCTGGGCACTGCCCCAAACGGCACCGGCTCTTGTCAGGGAGTTGGTGGCCACTGCCCCCTGGCATTGAGTTTCTCGAAGTCTGAGCTTTTCAAGCACTCGCCAAAGTCGTTGCCCATACTGTAAGTCTCGAGGCATCCGTGATCGCACATGGGCTTTAGAACGACACGAATCAGCTAATCGATTTTCCACTTGTTGATGACGAATGACCACGTTGCATATTGAAAAACGCCCACCGGCATTGCCATCTATCGGTATTTGTAGTAAGACTCAACTCTTGGAACCCCTACGAGCACGACCACGAGTGGTTGTCGTCGCTGAGGACCTGGCTCTTCAGTAGGTTGTTCGACTCACGAACTTCGAGCGCTTCAGCAAGCTTGCAAGTGTTCCTTCTTCCAAGGAAGCGCTGCGAAGGCCTTCAAGCTTTCTCATGAAGCACCGGCATTGTTGTGCTACTTTGCCTTGCCCGGGCTGGCCATCAGAAAACTTCGTTTGCCTTCTGATTCTCGAAAGACCAGCACAATCTCAGACAACTGACAACAGTTTGCTTACAACTCAAATGGCCAAGACATGATGCCGCCGGCCGTGCACCGAATCCAGTTCAGGATGTGGTGCATTCCCTAAAGTCCTAAAGTCTCTGCGTCCAGCTTGGTCGATACAGGCTCATGCAGGTTCAAGCTTTTGCAACATGTCCTCACGGGCCAGTGTTGAAAGTGGTGGCAAGCGTGCTGCGTTAGCCGCTCAGGTTATGAGACGCCTTACCAAGCTTTCCAGATTTGCCTGGGTCCAGAGAAGGCAAGCCACGGAGGGCGGAACTACGATCCCTGCATGCACAGAGAAAAAGGTTATCGAGTTCTTAGCAGCATTTGCAGAGCATTGTAAGGAGCCCTTGGAGCTGCACTTGAGAGATCGCCATGCTCTGTCCGTGCACGTAAAGATCGACGTGGAAGGTGCCCCCAGCATGGAGACATGTCCGCTTCTTGTGGTGCAACGAAAGAAACGAAGAAGCTCTTCGTGCTTGGCCTTTTGCGACAAGCCCACACAGCCCTAGCTCCATGTTGTTGGCACAGATGCTGCTCGCACATTTGCGCAGGCTCGGAGTGGGAGATTCTGGAGTGGCTGTTGGCGAACCCACGAGAGATGGACAAAATCCGCACCCTAGACATGGAGGTGCAGGAGCTGAGGATGTCGTGACCGTGTCTTTGCCAGCGCGACGTCAAAGCCCCATTTTCGCGGAAGAAGAACAACAAACTTCTATGAAACGCTACAATGCTACAACAGCCTCCCAATCAACTTGAATTGCCCCCCCCCCCCCAAGAGTGGCTGTGATAGACTTCGAACCGCCCTCTTACAGTCTGTCCCTTTCCCTTCCCACCCGCCCCCAATGAATTTGAACGACTACCCTGGCAACAACAGCCTCCAATAAGTTCCTGAACAGGTGCATCTGGGTTGGAACGTGGAGTCCTCCCGTGGGTTGGCACGCACCAAGCTCTCTCCGCAGGGCCGCGTGGCCAAGGAGATGAAACAGTTCCGGCCGGGTGGGTCCATAGGGTCAGCATTTGTGGAGGGCGATTTTGGGGCGCTGCCGTTATGGGTATTATATTCAACTCTCATGCCTTTATTCATCGTGCTGGAGGACATCGAAACGTTGGAGCATCTGGGCAAATACTTGCTGTGCACTGGATCCTCTATGGAGGTCCTTTTGCGTTGCGCAATGCTACCGCTGTGTTCTTGCCAACGAGAAGCGACATCGGTACTCGTGCTGTGCAATGCGATGGACACGCAGGTTCTCGCAGAGGAGTGGGTGAAGTGGCCCCACGGCGGGTGGCTTGGACCTAACCATCAAGATTTCGATAAACATGCAAGTCCGTAGAGTGAGGGTGCCGAGCCTTTGGACTTCCTCTGAGGAATTGCAAAAACTGTCCAGAGCCGTTGGCCCATGCTGCCGGGGGCTTCCCCGTCATCCAGTTCGAAGCTAGGCAGCAAAGCAACTAGGTGGTCAGAATCCAAGCTGTTGCCGTGCATGCAGGATTGATCTCGTAATGAGCAAGAAGCAAGAACGTGACGTGCGAATTGAACTTCGCCCCAAGCGTGCTTCTATGACCGAGCAACTCAGGCGATCAGCTTTGTTCATCCAGCATTGCTTGGATCCTCTGCTGCATGCCCATGCTGGGGTGACCACGACCGGAATTTGGGCACTGCATACCGAGGAAAGCCAGTTCCCAAGACTCCCTTCGAGCAGGAGATTCCCAGCCGCAGCATCCCGGTGCAGTGGCCCAGCCTCAGCCCCTGTGAAAAGACGCACGGCGGCAGCGGCGGCAACAGATGGAGCACTTTGCTACAGGCTTTTACTCGTAGTTCACTGCGCGACTGAGGACTTACACGGCCCTCAGCTCACGACCGGGTCGGCTCCCCCCTCAGTTCCATCAGAGGCATAGGCGCACCAGGCAGTGCTGTTCCCATACGCTACTCACGTCATCTTCAAGAGTAGAGGGCTTTGCCTATGGTGGCGCAAGTCAGAGCTTTTCTGTGTGATGGAGGCCGTGTTTACCGAATCCGGAACCTTGGCCATACGTCAAGCGCAGCGAGAAGCTCATCAAGCTGGGTGAGCGTGCTGTCAAGGCGGCAACAGGTGTCGTGCAGGAGGAACTCTGCGGAGGATGGTACATGTTCGGAGACTCTCGGCCTTGAGAAGATGGAAGAGGTGGAGGTCGGAAGCTCGGTGTTGGTTTTGGATGGTTCCCACCCAAGTCCCAAGGACATGACCTGGTGTTTGAAAGCCATCCAGAGCAAATGGGGCACTGAACAGGAGGATGGCGGCGTGATCGGCCTGTCATACGGCATTGAGCAGCGGGATCTGTGGAGTGAGAAGATGAGCAACCTCTACAGGGTGCCAACGCGCCTCTACGACTGCTTCCAGCGGCCAGATGACTCCCCGGCGCTGGGGGGCAAAGCACCGAACGCAACCGGCAAGTGCGCTGAAGATGGAAATCACTGCTACGAAACCCCCTACCAGGTATTTCAGATCTGCTCCGGGCCAGAGACCGGCACAATTCATAGCAGAAGGTACGAGTCGCTCGAGTCCCACTTACAGGATCGCAAGCGTCTCTCCGTCCATCTGAAGATTGACACCGAAGGTTCGGAGTGGGAAGTACTGGCCTGGCTACTCAGTTCGCCACAGGACATGAACAAAATTCGCACTTTGGATATGGAAGTGCACTTGGGCTGGGTGGCCGACTCTGCTCAAAGCAGCGCTCGAGCTTCGATGTCCTCCACAGCCCGTGTGGACTACGACATCAAACTGCTCGAGGACCTTGGAAAGTTCTTCCGCTGCACCGGATCATCGATGGAAGTCTTGGCTGAGGGATGGGGCAATGATGGTCGTGGAGCGTGCTGGGCTGAGTTGTTCGCTTGACAGCAAGGAGGAACGATGACATTTGTCCCTCTCTTTCTCTCCTTTGTGGTGACATCGTCTCAGGAAATGTGGGGGCGTGTGCCAGGAGCCTGCAGCATACGCTGCGGGAGGTTTCCCGGTCAGTCAGTTTGCCATCAGTGTCTCGGCACCTGTGCATTGGCCTGGTCTCCTGCTCCGGACTTGCCCGGAGAGACGCATTGATTTCGATGTGTGCAGCGTTGAGGCTTCGTCCATCCGGATCTGGTGCTGTGAAAAGTCAACATCCCCTCTGCACCCGACTGCAGTGCCGGTGAATGGGCACGTCAGGTGCGATACCCGGGACTGCTCAGTGACATCTTCTAATGCTGCGTCTTTTGAAAGAGTATTTCGAAACGTAGCTTTATGAAATCGGGCCGGCCAATCGTTGGAGCCGCCAGAAACAATTATTTTTACCTCCAGTTTACCTCTTGGTTATCCTCCGGATCATCCTCCCTGGTTTTGTTTTCCTGCGAGTCATCATCTTTTTTTCCCTGCGCCTTATCCTCCTGGTCATCCTCGCTGGTTTGGTTTTCCTCCGAGTGATGGTTTTTTAATCCTCTTGTTTATCCTCCTGATTATCATCCTTTTCATCCTCCTTATTCTTGTTTTCTTCGGAGTTATAGCTTATTTTACCTCCTCTTTATCCTCCGGTCATCCTCCCTGTTTTGTTGTTTGCTTCCGCTTCCGAATCATAGCCGAAGCTTTTTGTGTTTTTCTTGTTTTTGGAATCACCCTCACATGTTTATACTCTCCATCCTCCTCCTACCCTCTTCTGCTTAGCTTGTCTTCCTGGCTGCACTCCAGTTGTTTTTCATCATGTTTTTTCATTGTCCCAGGAAAGGACGAGTGGGTCGCTGTTTTGCCAAGGGGGCGGGAGGAGAGGAAGGGAGGAGAGGGGGAAGGTGGAGGGAGGGAGGGGGGGAGGGAGGGGAGGGGGAGGAGGAGAGACGAGGAGGAAGAGGGGGAGGAGGAAGAGGAGGAAGAAGAGGAGGAGGAGGAGGAAGAGGCGGAGGATAAATTTTAGGTAAACTTTTTGTAAATTTTTCCTAATTTTTTCCTAAATTCTTATTAAATTTAGGAAAAATTTAGGAAAAAATTACCTAAATTTTATCCTCCGCCCCTTCCCCCTCCCCACACCACCCCCCCACCCCCCACCCCCCACCCTCCAAACCCTAAACCCTAAGCCCCACCCCAACACCCCCCACCCCACCCCCATCCCCCACCGCCCCCACCCCCCACCCCCCCACCCCCCCAACCCCACCCCCCACCCCACCTTAGACGATTAGACTAGACGACTGACGATTAGTGATTCCCAGTGTAAGCACAGCGTTAGAGTCTTGGAGGTGCCACGTTGGTCCTGACAGCACGCGGGGAGTACACAGTTTCAGCGGAGACTTGGGTATGTCGCCGAATGTAGCTAAACAGCTAAACAACAAAGCAAAGGAACGACTTACCGAGACTCAACTTGCGGAGGATAACGTGAGGATGACCGGGAGGAGGATCGGGCGGTGAGTTGAAATCAGCGAGGCTGTCAGGGAGGACGATCAGGAGGATGACGGAGAGGATAATTTGGAGGTAAATTTTCGGGAGGCCGCACATCGAGAGGATGATGGAGAGGATGATCGGGAGCATGATCGGGCGTAAATTTAGACCAGGCAGCGGGCAGGGGGAGGATGAGGGGGAGGATGATGAAGAGGATGATTTGTCCTAAAAATATTTATTGCCAAGATTTACATTGTTTGGCTCCAACCCGTTCTCATAAACGTAGCTACAGACCAGACATTTGTCACGGGCTGTCAAGGTCATCGAGCGATGTTCCGAAGATGCAGTGGCACCTCTACGACGTGGGTCAATTTCGACACGATCCCGTGCACAACTCTGAGCAGCTCTGGCCGAGTTCTTTCCCTATGGGACGATGAGAGCATGAAGCGCCCTTTCCTGCATCCTCGCCATCGTGTCATTCAGCATCGTCATCTTGCAGGTTGGCGCTAGAGCCGCCAGACAAGTTGCGTTTCACCACAGCAGGAGGCATGTCAGACAAAGGCCGAGCCGTCGGACACCTGCCGCCGCAGGTCAACCGAAGCAAGACTCAGCAGCCTCGTGCATACCAATGATGTGGTTGTGAGCAGATTCGGGCTGAGCAGGCCATCTGGAATGCACTTTCCGGCGAGGTCGACTCCATGATAGCTCAAGGTGGCGGTCCTTCGTGCAAGTGCATGTTCCCTGAGAGCCACATCCAACTTGGTCCTTGTCGGTCAGGTGAGGAAGAAATTCAGAGGCGGAAGAAGGAATTGGAGGCCTGAGATATGTGGCTTCAAAATGAGTGCCTGCGGGCGTGTGTGTTGTGAGGCTCGCGGGAAGTTTGGCCCCAAGAAATTGGAGGCTCGACTTTCATTGCGTCTCTCCGATGGGGCGACTCTAACTTCAAAGTGCGTAGCGATGAGCATCTGCGGGCAGACAGGCTCTGTAGAGTCCGGAGTCTAGACATCTGCAGGTCCGCAGCCTACTCCAGACCACGTTTCTAAGCGCAGATCTGCACCGATCGTTTCTGGATTCTAGGCTTCCTCACCAGGGCCACTGCCCACCATGTTATCCGCCGTAGAGCTTCTCTCGCTGGCAATTGGCACCTTGCTGGGGTTGCTCTTCGCCTTCTTGGCAGGTCTCGGGAAACTTCTTCCGAGTCACCCGATGCACGGTGTGCTAAGCGCCACCTTTGAGAAAGTGATTGGCCCCTTCTTCGGCCTTCGAACGGCCTCTGCCGCCGGACTTCTCCGACTGCTCATCGGTGCTGCGGAGTTCAGCGCAGGCCTTGTGTTCCTTACTGTCTTCTTGGCAGAGCTGCTGGGCTCGGGCCTTCCTCCAAAGATGAAGCCCGAGGCTGACGCCTTGCTGCTTTGTGAGCGGTTATGGGAACAACATCATGACGGGAGCGCTTGCAGTTTTTCACTGGTCGACCAGAATCTGTGAAGAAAACGACGTTCCCTACGTCGTTTTCCTCCCCTTCTTCTCATCGGACTCCTGGCCGAGCGCTTGCAGACCGACTTCGCCCTGTCTGAGAACTGCGCTTTCTCTACACTTTCCCGTGCATTTGCGTGGCTTGATGCTCTCGCTGGCATGTGCTGCAAAGTATGGCACAAGCCTCGCGGAGATTCAACAACAGAACGAAGACATTGAGAAGATGAGGGAGCAGCTGCTTTCAAAGTAGAGAAGAGCATGGGAAGACGATCGTTGCCAAAAAAGTGCGGTGGGCATGCCCAGGGAGCTTTCGCAAGCATCTTGCCACGGCTTTTCCTGCACTGTGCCGCAGGTGCCAGAGCTTCCGTTGGTGCGGCTCCGAGTGGAACATTCGGGGCCCAAGCCTCGGTTTCGTAACGCCGAAAGAAGCGAGAAAAACGTCAACAGATTAGTTCGAGGTTCGACACCATCTCCGGCGCAACCTTCGGCAACCAATTCGTGGGCCGGGTAGCGAATCCGGATGAGGCGAGGGGCCCAGAGGCATCTGAGTGTCGCAGCACTTCGCCCGGGCATCGGTAGATCCAGATATAATAAGGTGCTGCTTTTCCATCGACGTGCCGGCGGTGGGGCTGTGGGAAGCCGAAAGGACGGAGATGGACTGAGTCTAAGTTCAAGGCACAAGGGGGAACAGAGCGATTTGCAGGTTCAAGGCCTCGGCGACATCCTCGAAATTGAGGAAAACACCATGCCGGGCGACGATGGTGTTAAGATTCAGGCGCAGACAAGTCGCGTCGCGAAGATCTTCTCGGTTCCAATATGGAACCTGGAATGTCTGGAGGACATCATCTACAAATACATAGAAGGTGAGCAGAACCTCCAGGCAGGGCGTGAACTAAGTTTGCTGCTCATCAAGTGCTTTGGCACTGGGTGAGGTTCTTCCTGAACCAGATCTGAACGACGCCGTGCCGCACCCAGTTCAGACAGCGCAGACTTTCGAGTCACGATGCATCGAGCTGTGTGCCGGCCTTCGCCTGAAGCAGCCAAGCTGTTCTGCAATTTGTTTCTGAAAGGGACGCTTCGTCTTGATGTGCTTGTTTTCAGGCTTCTATTGTAGGTGAGATGGGAGCAGCGGTCCTCAACGGCAACTCGTCCTGTCTCCCTCATGCTCTATCTGTAGATAGAGATATCTGCGTAATACGGCCAACTGCTCGCGTTGTGTTAGCTTGAGAGGTAAGTAAGGTGGGAACAGCAGCCGATGAGGAGAGAGTGCCGTTATCACGCCGTTAAGCTCCTTCACCAACTAAAGAAGCCATGCAAGGCATTACCGGTCGAGCCCCGATGCCCTCCTCCTGGGCTTGAAGAGCTGGAATTGAGATAGATCCAGGGCTTGATGTGTGCAGGTCTTCAGGAAGCCCAGGTTGTAAGCCGAAATAGACGCAAAGCCATGCATTCTAGGTCTGGAAGTAGAAGACACGTCTGCCAGCGGCAGGTGCAGTCATTTGTGCACAGATCCGAGCCCTGTGCCATCGAGCGGTTTGTCAAACAGGCCCGCGGGTATGAACTTGTGGGAAGCATACCGAAATCAATAAAGCAATTGCCAGGCGGTGGAATCCACAAACCAGGCCAGGTTTGTTTCGGAACTGGAGCCTTCGCAAACCTTCCAGCTCTGTGGTCTTGCCACACCGCTAGGTGTGTTTGTTTGCCGTTGTGGCATCCGTTGCTAGTAGTCTGAGGCGGTCCTCAAAGAGAGCCGAGCTGTTGGTGAGGAGGAGATTCGCGTGCAGATCCAGGAGGGGATTGCCGGAGCCGCCGTGTAGTTGGTCTGTGCCTGTTCTGGCCGGGTAGTCCAGGCGATCGGGTACGAATGGACCTGATCTGGGGCGCAGGACCGTGCAGAGACGCTGAGGCAGCAGCGGCTGGCCGCAGCAGCTGCGCAGGGTTCGCTCTCAGGTGCACAGCCGTGACATGCCATGACCATGAGCACTACTCCACACAGTTGAATCCTGCCCGGTCTCAGGCCCGCCGACTGAACGCGCAGACAGCCTTGCCAAGCGAGAGCTGGCCGTGCACTCAGCCATTTCGAAGGCGTCACAGGCGGAATCTTCCCACGGAACCGGCAGGACCTCTTGGAGGAGCCACGCGCTCCTGCCGCAAGTATGGCGGAGGCACATCTGCCATCTGCCATTCTGCGAGCACCTTTGGGGTCGCACTTTCGGCAATGATCCGTGTGGGGAACCAATGGTCGCATGTCGATTCCGATCAGGGTACGGATCTGTTGTTTTAATCATAGGTTTTCCAGACTGAAGCAGTGGGGGCAGGCGCTTCAGGGCTGGAAAGGATTTTGAGAACCACGGAGCCCATTCGGCCGCAGGCCATTCCCCCGACCGCCTTCCAAGCCGAGGAGGTTGAGGCGGGGTCTTCAATCGCGCCCTTGCAAGGCCCTTTTTGCCCGCAGCCCCGAAGTTTCAAGATTCTGCAGGCCCCACGCAGAGGCCGAGGCTGCCTTCCTTTGCCGACAGAATGTGTTTGCGGAATTTGGGCTTTTTGCAACCTTCCCGAAAGGTGCGCGAGGAGGCCGAGGTAGCCGAGGAGCGTGTTCCACACATCCTTCGATCGGGGAGTGTACAAGCTGCAAAGCAGGAGGACGAGGCCGTGGCTCCAAGCGGTCGCAAGACGACTTCGACCTGGCACCAACCCCTGCAAAGCAGCCGCGAATCGCTCGTGGCGATGCTCGTGTGGCTGCTTCCCAAGCTTCACCCCAAGCATCCCAAGCCCCACCCGCCCCTCCCGCCCAGCCCTGTGCGCCCACCACAGCTCAAGCCTCCACGGCCACAGTGCCGCCCGCAGCGGCCACGCCCTTCTTGCCTAGAAGGGCCGGGGCAGTGCCAGACGCTGCCGAGAGCTTCCTTGGGGCATCCCAGCACATGTCTCAGGCCCAACTCCAACCCCCTCCCAAGAGACAGTGGGCCCTGAAAAAAGGGTCCTAGTTTCAGTCTTTCTATTTTGCCGGATGCTTCTTCCTCAGTCTGGGGAATGTACAAAGATCGAAGCATCCTTTGGACTTGGGCCTGTGAGGCTCCTCGGCTTCAGGTCGTCCATAATCGCAGGTGGCTCTTAGAGCTTAGCTGGGGTATGCCATGCTGCCAAGCCCTTCAGAAAAAGAAGTGCCGTGCAGTGTGAGATTGACATCACGTGTTCAGGCATTAGTTGCCGTATCCAGGCCGGGGCCTATAGATGTGGAGCCGTTTTCAAAGCGCCAGCGCTCGCCAGCTTTGCACTCAAGCCTGGATGGCCATCTGCCGGACGTGGCATGACTTGCCAAGGCATGACAGTCTCTACGCGCATGCTCAAACAAGCTGAAGATTCGCTATTATGGTGCAGTATATGCAGTGGTATTGCAGTTGGGTTGTCTTGCGGGCATCACCGCAAGTGTATGCTGTCGATTGAGGACAGGCTGTGTGCCAAGCAGCTTGTTGTGGTTGAGCCTGCCGTGCTTGAGTCTGCTTGCGGTTTTTGGGACGTAGAGGACTTTGTATCCGAACTCAGTGCCGACCATCCCGAGGATGCAGAGGCAGCGGACGTGCCGTGTTGCAGGGGCAAAAGCTGGTGTGAGACATGCTAGGATCTGGGCGAGGCACTGCAGGTGCGGAACCTTGGGCAGCTGCAACCTTTTTACGATGCTGTGGCTGAGGTGCTGAGGCAGCAGAAGATCAACAGCCTGGAGCGCCTGGTGAAGCTGACAGATGGACAGACAGACCCTGAGCATCCTGAGACCGAGCCGCCACCACATGTTTGCGCGCCCATGGTGCCTTCCCTTTCCCTGGAGGCCTCAAGGCACTAATCAGGTAAGTCCCGATCCTGCAAAAGCCGCAAACGCCCCAAACGCATTGCCGCATGTTGTTGTTTGGTGCGAGATTCACAGTGTTGGGAACTAAATACCCGTGGTACAGCTGTAGCATCGTGGCTCCGGACCTGTAAGGCAGCACGCAACCTGGATCTTCCACCGTCCCCTCGTAATTTCGCCAAGGTGGCAGCGCTTGGGCATTCCGCTGGGCATCGAAGCCTTGCTGAAGGAAGAGGCGGAGGCGATCGGGGAACGTCCGTGCAGCATCTGTGACGGACTTGTGCCAAGTCCGGTGACAAGCTGCTGCAGTCATGCCTGAGAGTCACACTGATGTTTCTTTCCTTTCATCCTTCTTCTCCGCACCTCAAAGCATTGTTGTTTTGTGGTGGCTATGTGTGCATCTGGAGCTGACTGGCCGTCGAAGTGGTCTTCTACTTGTAGATCATCCTAATTAGCCGAACCTTGATCTCTGAATTTCTGACTTGAGCTCCACAGACTCCCCAGACCCTTAGAAGTAGCGCCAGAGAATCAAGCCTCAGGCAACCCTTGCTTCGATTTCCACAAGCTGCGCGGAAGCATTTCTGTCGTTTGGGATCGCTTTTGGATTCAGTGGGAAGGCGTGCAGTGGAGGATTCAGGTTCGCAATGTGCTTCATGCGGAGCATCTTCTCAAGTTTGTCGACACGGACATCTCGGCCAGTGTCCCAGGTGCAGATCCCGGACCGGCCGCCCGGATCCCAAGAGCTCCACGATGACGCTCGAATCCCGCCTGTATCTCACGGACATGCGAGTATTTGGCTCATGACAGGGACTCCAAAAATTATGGCAAAACGCAGCACCAAAGGCTAAGCGCTAAGCACACTCAACACTGAGCTTCTATACCAGTAGAATCTGTGGCATTCAGAGCCTCCTGGCTCATTGATGTTGGCACATTGGCTATGGCTCCTCTGGCCTGCCCGAGCCCGAGCGCAGGCCAGGGTCCGGTCCGGTAGGTTTTGGCGAGTCAGGAGTCAGGATGGTTTGAGGAGAGACGCCCCTCCCCGTGCTTCGCAGGACCCGAGCTGCTGGGATGCCCAGTTCACGGCAGAACTGTGTTGCGACCTTCAGTTTGGTCCAACAGGCAAGCGATGCATCGGGCTTCTGAAACCCAGTTTCTCGCAGACCCTGCCAGGCAACGAGGGCTGCTGGGACTCGGTTCACACCTTTGCGCGCTGTTGCGGAGAACCGACGCAAGTGCAGGCACAGGAGGAGGTGCGAAGCTTCCAAGCGTGAGTGGAAGCAACGTGTTCTTTGCCGCTTGCAGGATTGCCGACAATCCAAGAGCTTCGACTCTGAGTCTTGCTGTGACCTTCTGAAAGGCGATCACGGTGACGAGGCGCCGTCGGCATGCAACGGACCTGAGAGCCTGGTGCAGCCATGCCGTGATCGTTGGACCGTGACTCTCGAACTCATGTGGCAGGCTTGTTGGACTGGCGCTGGTGTGACTCGCAGTCAGATAGCCTGATGACCCACACACACTGACCTGTGTGCCTTCAAGTAGCTTGCCCATGGCTTCTGCCAAGCTAGGCCAGCACCAGGCCCGAGACAATCTTGCATCCTGACGGCCCAGCCTGAATCCCAATTTTGGAGAGAGAAGCCAAGACGAACAGCTTCGAGAACTGCTGCGACAGCAAGCTCGCGCACAACACGAGAGAGATGGAAGCCGCGCCTGTCATCGGTGCCTCGGCGCGCCCGGAGCCCTCAAGCGCTGGAGATTCGATGATGGCTGCACGTGCAGATGTTCCTTGAAATTCATCCCTCATTTTGCAGAAGCTTTCTCTGTCGCACGAATCAGACCGTCTCGTGTAGGGGACCGTTCTCGCGTCCTGCAATACTCTGGACGGAACTCTCCGGCTGCTTCGTGGGTGTTTTTCTCGCAAGGCATCTTGCCCGGCGGTGACGCACGCCCCTTTGCCCAAAACCTTTTCCAAGCCTCCCGCAATCATCTTCATTTTACTTTGGTCCGTCGTCTCTTTCGTTTTCATCCGGTTGTTCCAGCTCAAGAGCTAGCTTCTTAGTCTTGCAGTACTGGAATAAGCCGAACGGTCAGTGTTTGCTCAGCCGTTGTCTGCGGAATGCGCTACCAGCAGGTGCCGGATGCTGGCACCACGAAGAACACATCACTTGGCCAATGTGCTGTGGCAGTCGACACGACGAGTTTCTCTCTACCAACTTCAGCAGTTACTTTTCTTGTGCATCTGTCTCCGAAATCAGGAGAAGGGGAATGCTTCCCATGCTCTCCATGTAGACCAACAGCTCGTGTACTGAGGCACATGCAGCGCACCTGTTGGTCGGGAGGCTTCACGTACGACCGGTGCTGTGATGGCTTGGTTCCCATTCCCAGGAGAGCAGCACACTGGCACTCCCTCGAAGCCTTTTTGCCCGAAAGCATTGTGACGTGTTTTTTTCCTGGCATGATGTGATAATGTTGAGGTGAGGTTTTCGTTAGGTTGTCTCTTCGGTTGTGGTGAAGTTGCATGGCATGGTGTGCCTGGTTCTCGGGAGTAATTGTTTTCTCTTGACCTGTCTAATATCTCTGAGCACGGAGCAGGGCCAGCATGAGTCGTCGAGCATCGTAAAGTCGTAGAATGGCACTCTCACGATCCTTGGCTTTGGTGTTTCTTCTCTCTCCCTCTCTCTCTCTCTCTTCCTTTCTTTGCCTTCTGTGCTGCCGGTGATATTTGACTCGGGATGTTGACGAGCACGTCGTGGACGCGGCAACCTGACTTTGGTTCTGGTGGTTGTTCTTTTTTTGGTTTTGTCTCACCCCCTCTCTCTCTCTCTCTCCTTCTCTCTCCGCGGTTTGGATCTTTGCCTCTCATTGCTTTCTCCGTGGTGACTTAGGCTGTTGTGGCCCCGCCGCCCCTTCCCCCTGTTGTCAATGACTTTGCCGCGCACGCCCCCCTGCCCCTCCCCCGAGTACTCTTCCCCCGGCGTGCCAACCCTTTCTTACCCTGGTTTACCCCAAACAACCCCTGCTCCCTTTCCCCCCCTTGGTGAACGACGTCGGCGGCAGAGTGTTGGGGTAGTGGGGGGTTTGGGCTGGTGGCTACTGTTTTGCGTTTGAACGTGGGGGCTTTTTTTGTTTCTGGCGCCTGAGCCGGTCGGCCCCGTCGTGTCTTGGCTTGTTGTTTGTCCCTTTTTGTTTGGGGTTGCACTTCTTTATTCGCATGCCAAATGAATCCCGCCTGTACACGTGGAGAAACCTTGTGAATCCAGCAGTGCATGGCGACATAGGACACCGCAGGGAAGATTTAAAGTCCAGACTTTGTAGAGGGAGTTGTGTTGGAGTTTACGGAGAAGCCAATGGGAGGGTTTGTGCAGGGGTTTGGAGAAGTGTTTATGGAGGGGCTGTCTGAGTGGACGGATGAAGGGATGTTGACTGTTGCCTCGCCGCTCTAAACGCTTTCTGGACACTCATTCTGCGGCCTTCTCCCGGAAGGATCTACTTCGAGCTTCCTCGGGATGATGACCTCGTGCAATGTCTGAAAGGGGCAGCGAAGGCGAGTCTCAGCCTTTCGAAGAGGCAATGCAGCGGCAGGCCGGGGACGTCTCCCCAACACCTCTTTTGCCGGAGTCTTCACACCGACTGAGGTTCTTCAATCTGGCCGGAGTTGCAAACCGACTCATGGATTCGGTGTTTGGGTGGCATTCATTTCATCTTGCAAGATGTGCCCCGTATCCCGGCGGTGCCGAGGATGTTCAGCACAGCTTCTGGTGGCAAAGACGCCTGAAGATCGACATGCACCGTGCGGAACTGTACTCGAACAAGAGTGTTCAGGCTGCAAGTCATGGGTACTGACTGCATTACGGAAGCACCGTGTTGGTGTAGTGTTCGGTCGGTGCCAAAGATACCCGTCACAAGTGTGACGTGCAGACCTCAGAGACCCCGCGAGGTTTGCAGGTCATGCGTCCACGTGATCTTGTCCACATGGGAAGCTTGTGCGTGCCCAGCTCCTGCAGTTCCGGCCTGAGCTTTCGTGACCTCGGAACAACCGTCGGAACAACGCATTCCGTGAGAGTGCTGCAGGCGAAGATGCCGTGGCTGGCTGGTTTGCATCGAAGCTGGAGAGGGACGAGAAGGCTTACAAACCACCCAGACTCAGAGAGCCGCCAAGTAGCAGAAATTGGAGCCGAATTTGTGGAGGAACACAGCTTGACGTCGCGAGAGTCCTGTTCAACTTAGACGGCACTGATATCGCAACGAACCCCAGGCTTAACCGCACCCATGTGCGGCTCTCACCGCTTCGTGCAATCCGACGTCCGTACCCAAGATTCACAGGCTGGATCAGGGCATGCAAGGGTTGCGAAGCGACAGTCGGGTCGCCGACTGTAGTTATGCGAGATGCCTGGCCTGGCCGCAGGCTCTTGGATTTCCTGGAGAAGTGAGCACTCAGAAGATGCGAGGACCAGGGAGTGCAGTGCTTACCATCCACGGCACTTGGCGTCTGCCAGGAAAACCGGAGGAAAGTACGTGGAGTTCATCCTCCTGGAACACAGATCATGGAGGCTTCGAGAAAATACGTTGAGAAGCTTCAACACGACAGCGTGCCCCGGTTAGGCAGCTCTGGCCGAGCCAGCAGACCGCGATGGTACTGCTTGCTTTGGCCGTTCCTGTTCTCTTCGCCAGTGCCATCCGAGCCGTCGGCCCGCAGGCCACAGCATTTACCAGCGTCTTTCTTCCTGCAGAGGAAGTTGGGAGTTGAGGGAAATCTCGATCAGTGGAGGTCATGAGTGGCTTAGCCCTCCAGACGAGCCTGGGACGTTTGTTTGCTCCCCGCCCCCTCTGTTACGACGTGTGCCTCATCTGCAATTACGAGGAACGAGGCGTCGAGGTGCAACATACGGACGCAGGGGACAGAAAGTTTGGCAGAAACTGCGATTTAGACCTGAGATGATGTCTCTCAGCTGCATGGAGCCGCTTTGGTCAGCTCAGGTGTCGAATTCTGACCACCCTCTTTGTGATTGCCATCCACGTAAAGGATCACTACCCCTTTCCGGAGGTGACGGCAGTGTCTACGCCCTTCGAGCAGATCGCCGTGGGTGTCAAAGCCGCCGGGCGGAATCAGAAGGGCGGCGGCATGTCTTTACTGAAGTCCACAAGAGAGCATTCTGATTCTGGCTAAGGCCGTCCCTGTGAATCAGCTTGCCATCCTACTCATGGTCTACCTTAGCCTTCGAAGGCTGGAGCCGAAGAGCTCCGGAGTTCTTTCCTGGCTCTGGCGGGTCTTCTGCTACGCACTCCGTCGATGGGCTCTCATACTTTCTGTGGCTGCTTGGATTGGAACCTCCAACCTCCACCTGACCTCAATTGCTCGGATAAAGGGCGTGTGAGAAATCAGGTTGGAATCTGGCTTTACGTGTACCTCGAAGTCCTCGTGAAGGATGTGCCCATCCCGAATCTAGGCAGGTGACGTGCCGACTGCATGCGATGAAGAGGAAGTTTTTCTAGGCTCCGCAGGACCCCAGGGAGATCTGTGATGCGTCACGCTCGTCAACATAGTGCACGGGTGTGAGCAAGACTCTATTGAGCTGCTGATCCGAGAGCAGTTTGCCCATAGATCCTGAAGTCCTGAAGCATCCAAAGGCTGCCTAGCAGAGCAGAATCTCCTGCACAGGCAAGACCAAATTCCTTGAGCTGTGGTTTTCAGAAAGACGTGGGACGCCCAGGTTGCAGGCTGAGGGGACGTGACCCCTGGCTTCACATGTGCTCAGGTGATGAGTGCTCACGGATGGAGCACCTGCTTCCAAGCATCTTCCTTCTGCATGAGGCGCGACCCGCAATTTGGAGAACGGGAAGGAGAAGTCTCTTTGTCGTCGTGGTTTGTCATGCTGGACTCGAGGCGTTCCATTTGAAGCCTACGCCATGCCACAACTTGGGGATATTTGAAGCTTGTTGGCAAGTTGATGTCTGCCCCTCAGTCACAGTCGCTTGAGCGGCCCTGAGACCTTGTTTCAGGGTGGTTCCTTTCCAGTCCACCGGGGCTCAGGTGGTGACGTTCTCGCTTATGACCTTGCCCGGGCTGTCGCGAAGCAGGTGGCTGACGGCAGGGGTGGCAGCTCCTGGGACTTTTGTCTGGAACCGTGCTTCACTTGCGGGTGCTCCGGGGCTCGTGCGATCAGCAGCAAGGCAATGCTGTTTCTGCCGGCGGCTTTTAGCAGCTCAGCCGTGGCCGAACCTTGATTATGGATGCTGGAGACTTTTGCGCTTTGCGGTACTTCCTCAGCTATCAGGGATTAAACGGGATAGGTCAGCAGACGTGGTTTCGCGGTGGCCAATTGCATGATGGGTTCAATTGTCGGAAGATATCGGGTGGTATATAGAGGGAGAGCGGGGTCAGGTCAGCCCTGCTGATTCGCACCCCTTCTGCGGAGATTCGAAGCCCAGGAGAGAGGCGTGTTCCTCTTCCAGCACAGGCAACGATGGGTGACCGCCTGCTGTGAATGATGGACTGTGTGTCACCTGCAGTAAGCTTCAGCCAATCTTGATTGTTGGAGGCCGTTTTCTGCAGTCGTTACGATGAATTCGGTCAGGGGAGTGGGAGAGTTCGGCAGGTTGGGAGATCTCCTGGCGCCGGCACTTGCAGCCGTGGTCTTTGCCGCCCTGCTGCCACGGGCAGAGCTCTTGGAGCCCAGGCCTGTGTCGAGGCGACTCGGCGGAGGGAAACCTTCTCACACTTTTTCGAAGCAGACTTCCTGTGAACGCATGGACACAAGACTGTACAAACCGTTGCTGGCTACGACAACCAGGTCGAGAGTGAGACTCAGCACAGCACGCACCTCAAGCTTGACTTTGCCTTTTGCTCTTCTCGGGTCTTCGCGAGGTTCCTTCTCAGCACGCTGGCCTGTGCCGTGACCTCTGCTGGCATCCTTCTGATAGCAGCGGCGCACTTGGGGTGGCTGCCGAAGGTCGCTCGGCCAGGAAGAATCATGCACCCTAGACTCTTGGTAGGGCAGGGGCCTGAGGGACTGCAGAACTGCCTTCATTCCCGGTGCCGCCGAGGCTCCGCAGATCCCGGATGGTGTGATTCAGAACCTGATGGTGCTGCCTAGCATGGTCGGACTGCTCCTCATGCTGCGGATGGCTGAGGCATCGCCGCCTCACTCGAAAGGCCCAGCAAGTGAACAAGCAGTGGCCTGGAGTTTCGTACGATGTACATTGTACATGAAGTAGAACCTAGAACCTGGGGAACATAGTGTACTAACATGATAGTATCAAAAGAGGTAAAGATGAGAGAATTCTGCTTCGAGGATTCATTGTTCATGCTGCCACTTCGGTGTGTTAAGATCGCTGAACCACAATGAAGCAGGCTCCTGGTGCTTCACCTGCACAACTGCAGGACTCTTGGGACGTTTGCTTAACGCCTTGGGCCGTCTTTCGCCCGGCATCAACTTGTCGCACCTTTTCGATGCTTGACCTGCAGTTCGTTGATGTTGAGTTGATCCGATAGGCTGCGACAGTACAGTGATGTTGTTCTTCGCTTGAGCCAGGAGGGGATTGTAGAGGCCTTGCTTGGGTTTCAGTCTTAGGTAGCTCAGATGCACCTCGGCTACTCCGAAGCTTGGCGCAGAGAAGTCAGTGCAGGCGAGCGCGAATCACCGAGTGCGAGATGCATGCGACCGAGGAATCGCCAATCCAGTGGTTCCGAGATCTTCCGCCGTCTCCGGTGCTGTTTCTCTCTATAGTTGCCTGGGCCCGAGCACGATGAGAGTAAATCTTTGCTCGGCTTGGAGCCTGGCAGAGGCACTGCTCTTCGGCGTGTCCGCGGTGATGTCAATGCTTGTCTTTGTTCTGGTCGAGGGTCCTGTGCAGGCTCGGGCATATCGACATGCAGTTTGTGCTGCGGTTGAGCCCCTTTGGCTGCAAGGCCCTGGTGGGCTACGGCGGCCACAGCACATCCCAGACATTGCCCTCCACGTCAGTGACGCGGATGACGACAAATGGAGCGGCCAACGGCCACACCTCGGTGGCCAATGGATCCCGGCGACGGCGCTGAGACGCTCTGAGAGGCTTTGAGACGTTGAGACGCCCTGCCACTCAAATCAGTTCTCCAGGCCGCGAGCCAACAGTTGGAGGCTGCAGGGCCGAGGAATAGGCTGAAGGATACCGAACAAGCATCTGGCTAGGCAACACTGACTACAAGTACGATTACAAATTATCACTTTTAAAACATAGACAAGTGCACGACCGCAAAGTAGCTGCGAAGAGTTTCACTGGGTATTGGCATAGTGTGGCACTCAAGATGTCTGCTGAGCCCAGCACGCAGCATTGCTGCACGAGCCATCCGGCATGAAGCACACGTCCTTGAGAGCGCGCTGCTCTCTTGACTGGGACTTGTTTAAAAGGAATTCAGCACTCGGCGATGTGTCTCTGACCTGCCTGCGGGCCTGCATGAGTACCTGACTTCATGTTCTGCCACTGCAGCTTTCTCCTTCACCTGAGGCCCCCAAGACCACAGGCTGCTCCGAGAGGTTTCGGAAGTTGTCTGTTTGTCTGTTTGTTTTGTTTCTTTATTGTTTTGTTGTTGTCCGTTTTGGGGGGGCGAAGAGGTCAATCAGCGAGGAGCAGCTCGAGGCCTGCATCGGGCGGCCACGATTGCCAGAGCTGGCCGGTGAAGTTGCCAGGGAGTCTGCAGATGTTTGCAGTGTCTGCAGGCTGAGGATTTGGTCAGTGAGTCGGGGCTCTACCGGCGCGGCGCAGGCCGTGTCAAGATGGAGGCCTTGGCCTTCTTGTCAGCAGTGCTGCATGTGCATCAATACGCGAGACTCAACGAAGCTCTCTGCCAAGCAGGTTGGCCGTGAAAGCGAGACAAGGCGGTGACCCAAGGGGAGCAAAATCCAGACTTCGCAGTGCTCGCAGTGCAGGCAAGCTCCTCGAGAGAGTGGTTTGCTGGGTGACATGGACCGACTGCGGCTGCGTTTGCCGCTTAAAAGTCCCATATCCTGGCTTGGCACTTTGAGGAGCTGAGCCCGCCACAGAACCTCGCAGAGCTTTGGCATGAGCTCTTAGAGGCCTCGCAGCGGCTTCACCGACCTGGTACAAGCAGCTTGGGGAGTGGCCTGATATTGGCTCGCCAGGACACTCTGCCGCCTGACAAGCGTGAGCTGCTTCAGGCAGTGGCTTGGGCTTGGGTGAGTTTCTTATGACTCCACGCTTATGCTATGCTGTCCTGCGGTATGCTTGGTCCGCGAGGCTTCCTGGGATCGCGCCGCGAATGACAGCGAGCGTTTCTTGAAAGCAGCTTAATGGGTTGTTGGCGGTGTGCTGCGGTCGTCTAGTCAAGGCTAAGTTGGGGGAGTTCACAGAGCTGGGGTTGCATCTTAAGCATCAGCCGAGGATATATGCTGTTCCTGGAGTGCTCAGCCACGTGTTTGTCTTTGGCAATGGTTGGAGGGTCAAACACACGCCGGCAGCTGGAAACTCGTTTGCTCATCGGTTCCAGCTGAGAGTAGTATCAGGAAGCCTGCGGCAAAGAGCCAACCAACAGGAAGGATTTCGAAAAAGAACGTCCAGGCCATGATGCACCAGCTCTTGTGTTTTAGCCTGCAGAATTTAAAGGCGCAGTCTCTAGATTCCCTCTGCCTTCGGCTGTGTTGGCCAAGAGATGGAAGGAAAGCAACAATAACTGCAGCTTCCCCACCTTGCAACTCAGTCTGTCGACATCACTTGTCGGCCAGCTGCCGCTTGCGAATCGTGCATCGTTTTCTGGCTTGGCCTCGCTCATGGCCATCCACGTGCACGCTTCTCGCTTGTGTCCGTACTAGCTGCGGCCTGCGTGGCCAGGTGTGAGGCCGGTCTGGGGCTTTCCACGCAGATGGGCCCTGCATGGTCCAGACATGGATCCCCAAAATCCGACAACGCCGACAGTGATAATAATATAAGACAGCCCGCCCCTCCGGCTGCGATCCCGTGAGAGGTTCAGTGAGTGTAGCAGCGCACGGAACTATGATATCGAGGCCGAAGAAGTACACATGGCAACAGTCGGGAAGTACAGGAAAACTGGATGCCTTCAGCTTCATGCGCAGCGCTGCTTTGCAAAAGCCTGTGAGTCGTGTCTGCAACATGGCAGCACATTGCAGCACGGCAGCGCACATTGCAGGTACAGCAGCTACTTGCGCAAGCAGGCCGTCAGCGAGGAGGATAAAGCAGAGACCAGGCACCATGACCTCCTAGTCGGCCCAACAAAGTTGTTTACTCCCAGGGTTTAACGAGCAGCCGTTTGGGAGGAAGCAGCTGGAGCCGCTTCTGAAGCAGTACGGCCTGCACGACCTGCAGCAGGAGCTGAGCACTTAGGTTTGGAATGAAATTCACAAATTTGCACAGCAGGTCATGCGATGTGCAACTCGGTCAGGTCAGAATCCTCGGGGTCCTCCTTGTGGTGTGGAGCCTGGAGAGTGCTTAGCAGTGCTGGGTCTGCGGTCGGCTTGGCCAAGAGGCGATAATGCCCGAGTGCGATTTGGCCCAAAAATCAGCGCGTCACCCCTTTTTTGGGTTTGTGGAACCGGTCATGCCTTCCAATTGCGTCTTTCATAAACCACTCACCCCTTTCGAGGTTTAGGTCTTGGATTTGTGACAACGACTCACTCCTTGTGCGATTTTGGGATTCTGCAGCACACACGCTCCGTTTGGGGTAGGGCTTGGGTTGTTCGCAACGACTCGAGCGTTTCAGGGTTTGGGCAAGCACTTACCCCTGTAACATCCTTTAATTGGGGTTTTGGGTTCTGGAGAACTAGTCACTGCTTTTGGAGTTTAAGTTTCGGGCGGCGCATGTGGGGTTTTGGGGTTTTCAGATCCGCTGCGTCTGGTTGAGGGTATTGGGCTTACCACCCGTTCTGCTCGATCAGGGTTTTGGTGTTTTTGTGAACAGTCACTCCCTTTAGAGTCGTGCTTTTCCGCAAGCACTCACTCCGTTTAAGGTGTTGGGTTTTCGACCCAGTTGCCACAAGTTGATGTGTTTTGCAAATCCCCATTGATTCCGAATTCGATCTCCGAGTTTGTCTAAAAGACCACCACATCTGAGCAGTGCCATTGCGTGCCTCTTTCAACAAGCTCATCTGACCAGATCTATCTCCACGGGTCTCCTTGTGGGATCCCCCGCTCCTGGTCCAGAACAGATGAGCCGTTATGGGGATCTGAGATCTCCGGACTGAGGTTTGTGTTGGCCGCCCTGGCGATGCTCGTCGCTGCAGTGGTGCGCCCTCTCATGCAGATTCGCAGAGATCACCCGCAGGGTTTGTCCAACAACTTTGCTTCATTCTGACTGACAACTGACTGACAACAACATATGCGCCACCTGTCGCAGATTTGGTACTCGTACGGGCACGCTGAGACTGAGATTGAGGCTCAGTCCTTGTAATCTGCATGCGAGGCCTCAAGTTTTAAGTTCCTCAGGCCTTTCCAAGGCACAAGCAGCCAATGATCATGCTGCCACACTTTCGGTGGAGCCTGGCGTGCCACATGGGCACGGGAGCTCTTTGTGATGGACGTGGTTGTCCTACGTCATCCTACTTCCTTGTAGTTACAGAATTGAGTCAGACAGGTCTTGCTGGGATTGGGGGTTGCGGGTTGGGACGCCGGGCTAAGGCCGGCTGTGGGCAGATATGGAAGCTGCGTTTTTTGCCTGAAACCAAAGGGCAAAGCCAGGGCGGAGATGGGTTAAGACGGCCCACACAGCCCAAACTTGTTAATGCGCCTTCCGCACGCCTGTGTGAAAACTCTGCAACCACGTAGCCGGAGCCAACATGGGCGTGTGCCACCTTTCGCCCTGAATCCGTTGTACTGCCGATCGAAAGCTCAAAATTTGGCATCTCAGAAAGGCCATCGCGACAACGCCGCCACGAGATCCAAGCAAGCAGCAGATCTGAGACGCTGGGACTGAGACTGGACGTGATGCCCCACTGACAGACTGAGAGCAGCGAGAGCGAGGGCATGCGCCGGGGCCTCAATGGCGGCGACAAGGAGTGGCAACAGGTTTGCCGCCTTGGGCTCGGAAGACGAGTGCGAGGAGAAGACGGAGATCTTGGCAAAAAGTACGCCGAAGCGGAGATTGAAGCGGAAGCGTAGCAAGGCTAGGCGGTCAAGTACAAGCCCAGGCCCAGCACAGGGGCCCAGCTGTCGCCTTTTGCCTGGCGCAGGTCGACTTGGGTGGCGAAGAAGGTGCTGGAGCGGACGCGGCGCACACAGCGGCGCCAAGGAGCGCGAGGAGGAAGAAGAAGGGGAAGCTACTTGCCCTCAGCCCTGGCCATGGGGCGGGAGCGGCAGCGGGAGCGGCTGAAGCGAAGGGAGAGGAAGAGGGGGAGCCTGGCGGGGAGCCTGGCCTGGGCCTCAAAAGCCGAAGGTGTTCCACTGACGACGGGGGGCGTGCACTCGGCTATGTTGAGCCGACGACTGTCTCAACGCAGGCTTGCTGCCCACCGGGACCACCAAGACGCTGCAGGGCGGGGTCACCATCAAGGCAAATCTGGTGGCCAGCTGCAGGGAGCTGCAACGAGCTGCAACTGGCGGAGGTGCTTCGAGCGGCTCCCGAGGGAGCACAACTCGCAACAAAGGGCTGCGAAGTGAAGCTCATGTACGAGGCCAGAAGCTTGTTGAAGGAAGGAAAGGCACACCGCTGTTTGCGATAGCATTGCAGGGACGCCTGCCGGACAAGAACGGCCGACGGTTTGACGTCGGAGAGATTGATTTCCTTCTCGGAGATGCCTTGGCCTCAATGGTCTCAGACTCACCCCACTCTTCGGCCATGGACATGGACTGATCCTGTTGCAAGCGTCTCTTGAATTGCTGAGGGCACAATGCTGCCTGGTTTTGCCATCGGTGTGGCCGGAATGGGTGTCGGAGAGCGCCGACTCATTCGCGTACCCTGGCGGCTTGGGTATGGGAAGAAGGGGAAGAGGCCGAAGATCCCTCCAAAATCCGATCTGGACTTCGATGCATCGCTGACGTTCTGCGGCATTGACTGGAAGCGACGCGTCAGCCACAAGCCTCCGGAGATGTCGAACAAGCGACGCGAGGCTGCGAAGAGGCGCGGCAAGAAGCCGAGGCCCACGTAGGAAAAAGGCGCATCGCATCCGGATCATTGCCTCGACACCAGCAAGCCGCGATCTAATCACTCAGTTGCTTCTGTCGTTGATGTGTTATCTATCTAGACAAAAAGATGCAGATAGATCTGGATTACGGATTACTTTCTGCTGGGGCATGTTTCATGTCTAGCTGAGTCTATCCTTGATGAAGTCGTCGTCGTCGGACAAGTTGTAGTCGCAAGAGGTAGCCGTCTGAACCTTGAAAAGATTGAAATGCTTGAAGGATTTCTTGGATCTGATCGGCTCAGATAGCAGTGGTTGGGATCCCAAGTCGGGGCCGTTGGGGCATGGCTGAGGCCGAGGGCAGAGGGAAGCATAACAGAGAGAGAGAGAGAGAGAGCGGAGAGAGAGGAGAGAGAGGAGAGTCCCGATGATGGCAGGCTGGCACGGTTGGAGGCTCGTCTCCCGCAATCGCCTTGGACTTTACAGCTTTTGGAGCCGGCTGTACTGCGAGTTGCGTCCCGAGGCAAACAGTGCGTGGAGGGATGACAGGCCCTACGGCAGTGAGTTACTTCTCACAGCACAGTATTTCTGTTGCGATATGGTTGAATTCCAAGCTTGCAGGAAAAATGCAACTTTGTTGCCGCCTCGAAAGCTACCAGCAGATTCGCGTACCGAGCTGAGATACGTCAGGTCTGCAAGTTTAGACAAGTCATGGACGATTGAAGAATCACTGATCGGAATGACAGTAGGATTCATTTGCACACCAGCAGAATTATGACTGGTGAGTAGTGCAGTGCTAGTCGCTCAGGATATGCGGAACTCATCAACTCGCGCCAGAAAACGCTTGGAAGTTTGGACTTGGCTGCACAGGCTTGCTGTCGTTCTCTTCTCTGCAGGGTGGAGAGTCCGCCCATAATCCCGTTGCCACTTGTTGCCTCGGTTCATCGCAGAGTCCAACCCCTAAATCCCAACAGGCCCTAAGCCCTAAACTAACAAGCACCCACCTCCGGAGCCCCGCAGGCCCTATCAAGATCCGATAACCACAGAGCACGAACTTCTGAATTTCGTACTCTCTAGATTCTGGCTTCCTCATTATCTCTTCAAGATCGCACGCGATGTCTGGGAGTGCGACAATGAAATTCAACTCGCCGGTGGCATCTCAACTGCTGCAAGTATGGGGCCAAACGAGTTACCAGCTCTGCGAGGACGTCGAACTTTCGCGTTGTACGACGTTGTCAGGAGCGGCAGCTTTTGTTACGACGCCATGGCCACGTTTGCACTTCTCCGGTCTCCCGGGGTTCATGGACACTGAAATGGACTTTGCCTGCCTGCGCGTGTATACTCGCATCGAGGGTTGCCGAGCTTCGGAGCCTTGTGCGTGGCCGTGGCCTACGTGGCTACCTCCTTGTGATCTTTTTGTGGGCGCCCGATCCCAATGCGATCCCATGCAGGCAGGAGGTGCGGCACCACTTTAGGGGTGCGGAGCCTGGCACATGCAGCAGTGCCATTGCGCAATCGCTCGACTTGCATTCTCTGCCACATGTAATCATAGATTTCAGTATGAATGAGGATTATGGGCGAGTGTCGCCGTGTCCCACTGCCAACCTCCATGTCGGCGACCACGCGGCAGCATCGCGCATGGCCAAGCTCCCGACACAGGTTGTGGCATCCAGCCAGTCTGACTTGGGACCCGTGGGCTCGTAACGCACAGATTTGTTGCAAGCACAGACCGGCCCAATTTGCGAACGTTGCTGTCTGCTCACCGGCATTCCATCCCCGCAAGATTGCCGGCTGCCGCCTTGCCACGACTTGCGTCCGTGCTCGTGGCTGCGGGCCTAGCGGAATGCCTTGCCGGCCCGGCGACCCGTCAGGCGGTGTGTGCCTGCCAGCTCGCTCTGCAGTTCGGAGGGTTCGGGCTGTAGCACGCCGTCACAGATTCCTGGCGCGACACCTGGCCTATCCTGGCCTGCAGCACACGCTCGGATTCAGTCGCCGCAACTCGCAGCTCAAGCAAGCCGCGAAACAGCTTGCGACGCAGCGCAAGTGTCGCGACAACTACCCTGAGTTGCGCTGCCCCCTTCTGATCCCACAGGCAAAAGCCCCTTCCTACAGCTATGCGCGAGCTGCGCATTCACACGCTGCTGTCCGTTTGGCTCTGCCCTAGGTGCAGCCTACGCGTGCAGGGAGGTCATGCAGGACGGACGGTGGTTCCGGTCACACACGCGACGTGGCCTGCAGGCTGCCTCCAACGACAGTCACGGCCCGCCTGCGCCGATCAGGCATCAAGATCGGGCTTAGCAGGCAGCCGCGTCCTGCCTGTTGCCGCAGGACCCGTGCAACACTACAGCGTTAATGTCAGCCCACATGCACCACTCCTGCGGCGGCTGGTCTGTGACGTGGCTTATCTGCCCCGTCCGTATGTACCACATATGGTTGCTTTTTTGTAGCTACTGACCGCACGACAGCGCTATCAGGACTCATGCTGCTGCCCCCGTCCGAGCTGTGCTGCGTTTCCTGCGGTGCTTTGCGGGACACAAGCCGCGCGCTCTGCACAGCCGCATAGCTGCGCGCCGCACATCACAGGAAAGAAGCCGGCAACCGCCGTTGGTTGCCGCTCGTTTGGTGCACACCCGAGACCGAGGCGCTGCCGTCCTGGCCCCGGCCCACATGCGACCCTCGGGGCCCCATAATTTTAAAACCCTCTCCCTGGTTGTTTTAACACCCCTCTGTTTTTGTTTGACCCGTGAGCCTGTTGTTTCCACCCCGTCCCCTAGCAGAAAAGCTGCTTTCCTCACCCTCGCCACCGGTTTCTTCCACCCCCTCACCCGTGTTTTTCCAACCCCAAGCCTGCCCCTTCTGTGTTTCCTACCCGCCCCCTCGTTTGTGTGCGTCTCGCCCCGGACCCTGGAGCAGTAGCAGCACAGTAGCAATGTTGGAGGGAGGAAAGTATATAGTAGGGAAGTCCTATCCTGGGAAAACCAAGGTATGGAAGCGTGGTGGCTGAAGCCTTAGGGTTTGGGGGGTCAGGGCTTCAGTTCTAGGGTTTAGGCTTTAGGGTCATTTGAGGTTAAGGTTCTTCGACGGATAAGGGGCTTCGGGCGAAAACCCTGAGGCATCCGGACTGGGGGCTTGGGAGTCTTGGATGTTTGATCTTGCTGCTGCCTAGGCCAACTAGCTACGTAGAAGAGCTAGGCATGCCGTTGAAGCTATTCAATTTCAGTCGTGCAATTACGGCAAGTTCTTAGTGCAATCTTGCGCACTGTATTGCACGCCCGGCTCCAAGTTTCAGAACAGCACGACCTGCCGACGTCCTAGGCCAGATCACCAAACCTCATCCTGTCGAGACGCTATGAAGGTTTAGGACTCAATTTTTTTTTGCATGAAAGGTTTTTTGCACCGGAAGCAGAATCCACACAAGTTTGAGGGCCAGAACACAGAACTTACTAAAGGGATCTAAAGGGTAGGGAGGGCCACTCTGAGGCAGCAGTTTCTGAAGGCGGTAGAGAAGAATCTGTACCATGCCCGCCCTGCACCAGCCGATCGTACGGTGCCAGCCGGGCAACAACGCCACTTTGACGGTGGGTTGCATCCATCAGCGCGACGGAGTTTGCGGCAGGCTTAGATTTGGACAACGGCCCAGGTGCCGGCATGTTCGGTTCGAGACATCCTTCGGACCTGAGCAGAGCATAGTCGGCATTGCAAAGCTGGCGACCCCGAAGCCCGAAACCCGATCTTCGACCTGCAGCCGCAGGCTGCAAAATTCACGTGAGCCCAAGAAATGGCAGAGGCGACTTTCCTGTTGCTGCACATTCCTGATCATATGAAAGCATGCTCCCAAAAGGCGCATACGAAGTAGTTGCGGCTTGGGAGTCGCGCCGGGGCCAAGAAGTATTCAACCCGCCTCCGCTCTCTGCTGCCAACCTCGGAGAAATTTCGTTGGACAGAGCCGGTGGACAATCTTGTTCAACCGAGGGCCTGGTCCGCATTTGTTCGCTTTCTGCATGCCAATCCCTACACACACGGGGTTTCGAACCTCCAAGACAGGAAAAAAAAGCTTTGAAAATGCGCGCCCCCAACCCTAAGCCCTGCTTGTTTGATCGAGCGCGCGCAGTCCACTCGCTGATCAGCAAGTGCAAGGCCCAGGCAGCAGCGGATGCCGCGAAGCCCATGAAGGTTAAACAAGCGCTGCCAGCTGCAGCGGCCAAGGTGCTGTGCCGAGTGCGAGTGGAAAGAGTGGGAAAACGCCGCAATCCATGGATGCTGCCTGAGGTGTCATCCTCACCCTCTTCGTCCTCGTCTTCGGGAAGTACGGCGAGCTCCTCCAGCTCGCCTGTCGTTCGCAGGCCGTTGGGTTTGGGCTATGTGTACTGCAAAGTTTGGGGGCGACTGGGAGGCGCCGAGCACCGAAAGCGTGCGCAGCGAAGTCAGTTCCCGAGCGTTCACAACCTAAGAGGTCGTTGAAGAGGGGCATGTGCGATTGTGGAATTGGAAGCAGGCCACCGCCGCCTCTCCTGGGAATCCTTAGAAAGCCTCTGGAGAAGTTCACAGCGGCAAACTCGAGCCAGCAGGGACGCACCGAATTGAATTGAACAGTTTCGCACGACCGAGGTGAAGGAGCTCAGAAGGTACCTGGCGCGCTCCAGGAAGGTTCAGACGGGCAAGAAAGCCCAAGAACAGCGGCGTGGACCCCTAAACCTAAAAACTCCTACCCTCAACTCAACCCCTAAGATCTTTGACCCTTCCTACACCCTGATCTTTGCTTCACGTGCGCCTCCTGGGACGCGTCGATTGCGCCTTTTAGGGGCTATTCCAAAAGGGGGGTCAAGATTTCAGGATTAGGGTCTATATAGAGTTTATACACGGAACCTCTGTTTACGATAATACTCCTTACTTAGACATATTAAAGAGGATATGGCATCACAAGAACGGGTTCAAGAATTTGGGGGGCAACACCGGTACCCGCTGTTAATGAAGCTATTACACGGGCCCCACAAAGACCAAAACGGGTGCTCCCCTGCTAAATTACT